TCAGTTCGGTTCAATATATAGGTTTTTATGCATTTTACACTTTAAGTACATTTAGTGCACCTGGTGTGTTTAAAGTAGTTTAAGACCAGGGCGCATGTTGGGAAAATTGATTTGTTTTGTAAAATGTATAAAAAACGAGAAAATTCAGTGAAAAAAAATTCTGAAAATTTTCTGAATTTTTCACTGAATTTTCTGGTTTTTATACACTTTATCAAAACATTCTTCTCACAAGTCTTTTCTAGGGACATAAGTGCACTCTTTGTGCAAAACTGGAAGATATAGACAATGTGGGGAAGGAGTGATTCTTGTTTGAAAAATAACATGTGACTCAATTGAGGGATGCAGAAAATTTCCCATCATGTACCCTGACCTTAAGGTCATGGGTGAAGGTCATGCCAATGTGACATCAAGAATCTCTACACCGTTTAAACCATATCGAAGTCATTTAAGTCAAGCTAACATTTAGAAATCATTTCAATTCGGTTCAATATATAGGTTATTATGCATTTGACACTTTAAAGTACATTTAGTACAATTAATTTTTTGTGTGACTTTAAAATAACAAAAGTAATTTAAGAACATCGCACGTAAATCTAAGTAAGTCACTCAGAAGAATTCTTGATAATTTAATGATGAAATTCCGAATCGTCAGTATCGTTTTATAGGTCCAAGGCAAAAATAGTTATATATTTATTTCATGGTGTATCCATGCTACCCTGTATATGGACTAAAACTCCAAAATCACACAACATGAAAAAACACACGTGCAAAATGGATATGTATGCGCAAGTGCCAATGCGAAAGTACCAAAAACTCGTTACAGAACACAGTAAGAAAGAGAAAACATCTAAGTGTACACCAGTCATACGTAAAGCAAACCCCAACTATCCCAAAATCATAATCCAAATGTGATAAGAAACAGTGTCTAATACGTCCTCCCGACCATTCAAGTACCAATATCACAATCCGAGGCCATAACTCTAAGGGACATTTCATTCATACTAAAGTCATAACATTTACACGTTGAAGAATTGATTTAAAATTGATAGCCAAGACTCATAACATCAGAAATAGTTGTATATACTAAATAATAATGATAGAGCAAAGAACATATTAAGATAATGGAATCTATAACACAATTGCATAGATGAGCATCTAGGAGCCCAACCAGATATTTATGGGAAGCAAGCCCCAATATCCCAAAGCATGTTCAATTCCCCTCACCCCCATGTAGGAATTTTGCAAACCTTCCGGACGATATTTTCAATATTACACATGTTTCATACATGCAATTATAAATGCATGATTATGATGGTAACTTCCCATCGGATTTCATCCGAAGTCGAGTAAAGTTGTGTAATTCTTGGTTCAAAACAAGTAAAGCATCTCTTGAGTTAAAAGAAGACTCCCAAAGTATATGTTGAATCAGGTGACTGACTTCCAGCGCAAATTGTGTAAAACCACGAACGTTTGATCTCCGAACTAAGAATACAATATGTTGTGTTATGCTACATTCTAATTTTTCAAAAAGGAATGTTTGACACATTGCAACAATTCCAAGATGTCATTCTACTGATATTCTTGGTTGATGTTATACATAGTTTCCAGTACTTACTCCCACTGCAACGGTGTCTGGATCTGGAACAAAATAAGTTGAATTGCAAAGAAGGATTTGTGAAGGACTAAAAGAACATTTTAAGTGGCATTGGAGCACAATGCTAATTTGTAAGATAATTGAGAGTTTAAGCTTGCATATAAAATCGAAACGCCAACCTATACGCATGACCAATCGCCCATATAAATGCATCGCTTAAATATTTTCCGTTCACGTTTAGGTTGTGAAAAACATTGCAAGCTTACGCTCCCTAATGTCGTATGTAAGGCAATTATGTTGTCTTGATTATGGACTTGAGGAAATGTCAACTCCTTTGAATGTACCACCCTTAAATTGTACCATATCATAGACTTAGTGACCATATGATCAAACGATATCTCGAAATATGAGTCGACACATTGAAGTTGTTGATCTCCACTTGATTAGAAGGTATCGTCTTGGTTTTAACAGAGGAGTTGCCATCCTCCGTATCGCAGGGTTACAGAATCATGCACAAAGTTGGAAGGAAGGAACTTTGTGTAACCCTGCGATACGGAGGATGAGAAGTTGCCCTCATGGCATGAAGTCATCACTTTGTTTGTTCTTTGGAGTTTTAAAATTATATTCTTAAATGATTTAAGCATATAATTTCAAGTTGTGCTACACGAATCAGGAACGGGTCTGAAAATGAACAAGGAGGGGGGGAGTGTCACATTTCAAGTCTGAAAAAATATTTCCCCTAAAATCCAAAATTGGGCCTAAATTTTGAAAAGTTAAGGTCCATTTTCTGGATAATTTGGCCTTTAGTAACAATTCAATTATGGCAAAAGAGGGCCCACATTTTTCTTGGCCCAGTGCGAATATCGCAGGGATATTTTGTTTGAAGCACTTCCACACTGAAATACACACAAAACTACATCCCAGACGTTCTAAATTGATGCGAAACACATTGTTCTACTTTAAATGCTTTTCATGTGGTTAGGGGGCATATCGGTTAATTTAAGGAGTAATCATCGAATACACAACACTATATTTATCATAAGTAAGATTTTAGATTATTACATAATCAGTCGGTGTTTCATGGAAACATTTACTCTTCCATACAAAAGTTTGGCAACCCAAATTCACTATCTTTATTTGACGACAAATATTCACTTTCTTCAGAATCAAAAAAATTTTGTGAATTTATTTTTATATCTCGATAACTCTCTCCCAAAAAAATGTATAGTATTCTCTAAAATGAGACTCTGTGGTAGCTTTTCTAATCACAAAGCAATATAAATATAAACAGCAAACAACAAAGACAATTCAGTTTTTCAGTTTTCTAATTTGCCATGCTAGAGACAAACAAACATCCTGGCGCGTATATAGGTAAGTAAAAGTATATAGTAAGACGAAGCTATGTTTTAAGAAGCTAAGTCAAGCTGGTGCGAAGGTTAACTGCATTGTTGATTTTTCAAAAACACATTAAGGGTTTCATACAAAATACTTAAGTTTTTTAATCATGTTACGAGCACTGGTAGATTCTTTACTATGGTATAGACAAAACTAAGCTTATAATCTTGAGTGTAAATTTCTAACCGTCTGTTTTGCATTTTATCCACAAGATCAATTCATTGCTGTCTATCAACGTAATGCCTATATGTCTGAGCAACCCATCACCTATTCATAATAAAACATTCACGGTTATTCGGTTCCTGCAGATTGCTACGTTGCAGTTTTTTTAGGAAATTCCCCAGAATGGCGGAGTGACCCTCTACGATGAAAAAGTATATTAGCTACATAGTCTGCACCCCACTGTAGTGACAAATGAACAGTTGTTTAATCCGGTTGAAATGTCAAACAGACATTGTAAAAAGCTCAAATGCAATGCAGGCCCTATTAAAATATTTGTTTATTCATGGTGTTTCGCCCTTTTGATCGATATTCAAGACTACGCCACGCCGGCAGTGAAAACTCCGTGATATTAGTCTAGTTCTTCCCTGAACTTTTTACTGGATGCGTTGTATGTACACCGAAATGTCAAGTATACAGTATAGGCAGTTGCTTTCTCCCCATTCTAGGTGAAAGTCACGAGTCTGATCTGAAAACAAGAAATAGACAACCCTTTTCAATATTTTATTCATTTGCACTTCTCTAAAAGAGAGCTTCATCTAGTAATTACTGCAACCATCTAAATCCCAGGGTATGAGTCAATGTTTTTCAAGCTAAGGCATTAGTATGACAAAATGTCACTACATATTACAAAAGTGAAATCATAGACGTCAAACGCCGGTCAAAAAACGGCTCACGTGAAAATGGTTTCTAATATCCATGCATAACATAAGAACATTGGCCCAAATGACTTGGGCAAAGGGCAAAAAGGCCACGATGTATCAGCCAAAATCTTTGGAAACAGGTAGAACAATTGCATTTTCATGCCCTTATTTTGATTTAAATCCAAAATATATGGTACTGAAAGATGCCATTTGAATGTGTGGGATGAAATTGAAAAATAAACTATATGAAATATGCACTTGTGTAAATAGATGTATTTGAAATATGATCACTCTGCCCATCACTCGCCACATTACCAGATATTCAACATCGATTCTTTCCAAGAATTCCCATATGGGTCAAATCATGCATGCTGTCATTGTGCCTTTTACTCTCCACAAATTACAAGATATTCAACATCGATTCTTTCCAAGAATTCCCATATGGGTCAAGTCATGCATGTTGTCACTGTGCCCTTTACTCTACATAAATAACAAGATATTCAACATCGATTGTTTCCAAAAATTCCCTTATGGGTCAAATCATCATGCATGCTGTCATTGTGCCCTTTACTCTCCACAAATTACAAGATATTCAACATCGATTTTTCCAAGAATTCCCATATTCCCATATGGGTCATTCCTCGCAACCATGTATGTCAGACAGACACGTGGTATACCGCCACGAAATCCATGGTTTTTAGTACCATTTTATGGGTACTATAGGTAGGTCACCATGCTCTCTTTGAACATGTTCTTATGGAACCTCTGGGAACGTAAAACAATAAAGAGCCCAAATAGATCTTTCGTTTGATATACAGAGGTACGTTACATCTAATGGAACCATGATTGTTGTGTTTTCTTTGATTCTGTGCGAATCAACTAGTTGTGCAACTGAATTTGGTCTCATGTGTTCCAAACCCAGACGATATAGCAAGTGATAGCTGTTTGCTGACTATCAAATTTCTTACAACTTCTGTTCTTAATCATTTTTTATCAAGCTTTCCGAACGGCAAGCTTTTTTGTGTCACAGACGTAAAAAATAACATGGAAAATCATTTTCTCGTAATCCTATTGGCTGATCCCAGACTAGAGATCTAAATTTACCTAACAAATGCTGTTTTTAAGTAATCGCTCCGCAACATTTCTTCACATTCAGGAACGTTTGCATTTAGCTGTACGGAGGTGCATGTGATACCAGGGAAAACTGGCAACACTGCAAGCCGCAGCACGAAGGCATTTAAAACTTATACATCTTCATAATCATTTGTAAATATACCTCATTTTATAGACTATGAAATAGTAGACAATTATGGCGAGGACTAATTTTACAATGAGTTTATTAGTGCATTTTGTTGTCGTCGTGATATTGCAGTCCGTATTATTCCAAGATGGGGCCGTAACCGAAGCAGCCAAGAGAAGGAAGCGTAAGTATATTATTCTGATAAACAAATATGATATAATGAATTAAATAAAGAACCAAGTTATTCTTTAATATAATCATCAAATAACAAAAACTGCGCAAATGCTGATTTCTCTCAAGTCTTATCTTAAAACCATGGCAACTTTTGTTTTAACACTGTACGAAATCGATTGAGCAAATCGGTTATCGCTAAAGATACGATTTCATGAATAGTATATATTTAAGTGAGAAAAGCTTTTAGAGCCTAAAAATCATTTTAGCATGTATGACTTGATTCGAGTTACCAGGGATTACCCTAACATTTGAGGGAGTGGATGCTTTCATGCTACATCCATGGAATTTTTAAAATATGCTTGCACCAACATGAAAACAGTTTTGCACCAAGTTAAAAATCATGAAAATTCGCCAAATTTGACCAACTTAAGGCTTTACTATGTAAAAAGAATTTCGAACTCATTTGGAAAAAGACGACTGAGTTACACATCCAAAAAGTTGATTCATTAGTTACGAGAGTTCAGGAAGGCAACTCCTGCTGTTTGAGCATTCCTAGTTGTCGAATTTGCACATTCAGTACAAGAATGAGTGATGTATCTATTCTTGACGATAGAGCCGGATATTTAGGGCATCGATCATTAGGCGAAAAACTTTGTATTTTAAGGTTTTTAACCCGTATCATTATAACTTTCTCTACCTTTTTTCATAATCTGTGTTACATGGTCGACCTTCTTCCAGTTTCATATCTACATCTCATAACTCTTTCATGTAGACCACCAATACCTCAGATCAATTACATTCTAAAAGCAATCATGAGTTTTACCACATGTGGTTATTTTGTGCAATGATATCCCCATCAAAGTCTAGCTTTTATCTACAGAGGTCCTTTACCCACCCAGGGGTTACATTGTTCCACTACATACTACTTTAATTTGTTCATTTATCAGACGGGAAATTTTTGACTTTTGCATCGTCTTTATCATCAGTGCACATTTGCTGTCTGGAAGGAACCATTAAATCTTGAGGAACATTACCTTCCAGTAAGATATATTGCATATGAGAATGTAAAGAGCGTTATTCGGAAAGAACCCACAAATGGTAACACAAGAAGAGCAAAATTACATCCAAATCAAATATATATTAATCAATAAACAAAAAATGGACCGATACATTATATCAGATACAAGATTTATATAATATGGGTAATTATTTGAAGTAAGTAATTTGAGCAGGTTTTTATAAATATTTTTATAAGTGTATATTTCAACGTCAAGTACTTTAATTTCTGTTTACCATATCCCCCACAATGATCCGTCCTGGCCTTGATTTTCAAGTATAAACCGATAAAGTTGTTATTAGAAAAAAATGTTAAAGCGGCAGTGAATGACCGAGAGTGTAAAATATTGGAAGCAGTTTTTAAGACGCATTCCTGGGTGAATAAATATAATCCTAAATGTACGATTTCTGAAACAAAAATTGTGATATCTAATTAATCAAATATGATATTTTTTGTACGATTTAAGGTGCAGATATGTCCAAATTAAAGGACATCCACCCCTTCAAAATTATTGCTATGAACAAGGATAAGGATTATCATGAAATTAACTTTTGAACTATTGTGAATATTATATGATTTTGTGAAAGTTGTTCTCAATTTGTTTCTTGTCTTAGTTGCACTTTAAGACAGCTGTATATCATAAAACATTCAAATTAGTCTGTTCGTTACATCATGGCCTTGTTGGAAAAAGTACACATATGGTTTATTTAAATCATTCTGATCGTTGTAATACATTTTAAAAACATGGGTTTCTTTTCTAGTCCTGTAATTCGCTGACTTTAAATGAGACTGTTTAATTGAGGCAGACAAACTCGTTTTTATTTCTAAAAACCCTTCTTGTTTTTCAAATGTTCCTACTTCAGTGTTTTCGTATTTGCTGAAATCATCTGTCTCTTATAATTGTTGTGTTTCTTTGTGACAGCACTTTTTGCGAACTACTCTTATTTATTATCGGCCAAATATCATACATTTATTTTCAGTTTTCCGTCTTTGGATATGTTTGGTTTTCTTCAAGCTAGATGCATGCTGTGACTAATGAAATTATTAATGGTATATATGTCAAATTCAGAAGTAGAAGGCAATTTAAACAGTCATGCCGGCTGTTAAAAGTTAAAACTCGTTACTTATCCTAGAAAATCACAACAGGGAATGGGAATATACAAGGTAAATAGTTGACCTTAGAGTGTCCTGAAAGGTTGGACGTAATGGGTAGTTTTTTTAGTTACGTTTACACAATATGTACTTCATCACCAAGAAACGGGGTTTACATACTGGAATTTGTTTTCAAAAGTTCAATGACCTTTTGTTTGCTGATACTGTCACTCCACAGTGTTGGAAAATATATTGGTTAAATAAATCTTTTTTTGCAGTGTCAGTTTTCAGTAGGGAGTTCACTGAGCATATCAGCTGAACGATTCCGTTTTGTGTGGGCGTCTGAAACTGCACAGAACTTTGATATAATGATATGCTTCTGGGAAATGTTCTCTATCAGCAAGTATCCCATGAAATAGTGAAACACATAAGACTTTGAAGAATTTTGCACTCATTTTGGAAAATACAGATACTCATGTATAATGCAATGATACAAAAACTTCTAGATATATTTACTAACGTTTTCACATAGTTCACAAGAATGCATAATTTGTCACAACACTATTCCAAACTACTATATTATCTAAAAACAATATGTAGCAGTCTTGCATAACTTTTGACTTTTGATGGATAAAAAGTATGGGTCATTATATTTTAGTCTTTTTGCGGTGAAATATAATCAGCACGTTGTAAGCGTTTCTAAAATTACCCAGCTTGAAACAAGAATAGGTTTCGCACAACATATGTGTTTGCAGACAGAGGAAGTGTGTTTATGCTTAACTGAAGTTGATAAATGCTGAGTTATTTTGACATTTTTGATTATTGATATAATTTGTTGCTGGTTCATCTACCTAATTCTACACCTTTTCTGTCTAGCATTACTGAAAACATCCGTCTAGAGATGGACGATTCCAGTCACAGTCAGTGCGGGCAGACCACTTGAATTTTTTTAATTCACTTTTTTATTTATTCAGTTGCAATTTTGTCCATAACTTCATCTCCATGATTTCTCCAAGGAAGTCCTTGATATCTCAGAGACAAATACGCAGTATTTCAGAGGGTTTAGCATTCATGCATTCGAGACTCAGCCATTATTACGTGAGACCTTACATCCGATTGTAAAACTTCTTTTAAACACCTGGTATACGAGACTTGTTATGTCTACCCCTCTCCAAAAATATCTTTATCGATATCCAAGCCCAAAACAGTTCTTCGATGTTTAGGCGCAGATTACCGTACAGGTTCTAAATGTTATGTAACTGTGAGAGTGTTTTTGTTCTTTACTTTCCGACCCTTCACACAATTAATAATCTTTGGAGAATTAAAAGAATTCATTTAAAAAAGCATATTTCCATTTGTTTTTGGTGTTGCTTCACTCAGAACGACATATCAAGGTTTCACCACTATGTTTCACTGCTACCATAAGGCGTTCTCTACATTTGCATACGTACTTGTCTCAAAAGTATGAAACACCATTGAAAAAACAACTTAAAGCATAACTCCCTATACACATGAAGGAATGCTTCACGGGTCCTTTCTCAGAGAAAACACCCTTTGTATAAACAAAGATACTAAACATAAGAAGCTAACATAATATGTGTCAACACCTTTAGTGTGGCGAAGTCTGCTAGATAAGAGATATATGTATTTTCCTGACATATAACAACCTTGTGCACTATTAGTTCGGACAACCTGCTAACACTAACAAACGTAGATTATTTGGAAAAGTTTTAATCTTTACACTACTTTTTCTTGAAATGGTTTGTTTTATTTGTTCTCCTTTAGTAGTATCGGTATCCATGATAGTCAGAACTGTTGAAAGTACACGATTAAATTTGTGTTAGGTAGTCGAATTTTCCTTTGAAATGGGGTACAATAACATAATATATTGTACTGTAATCGTGTCTGATACTTTTTCCCCCGATACTGTCGAATTCAGAGAGTCACAAAACCGACTGTTGGTGATCTCGTCAAATATCAATGTTCTCACGAGTGTCGAAAGTATAAATAACCCAAACTATGCAAGAAATACAGAAGTACAGTTAATTTATTTTTAAAGTAAACTGTTTCTAACTATTTCTTAAAATGCTAAAGGCCAATTACAATTCCTTTGAACATTAATGTGAGACCGACATAATAATAAATTGTTTTATTGTAGATAGGCATTTTCTGATATAACACTATGTTAAGTAATACTTTTCAGGACGATAGCCTCAATGAGATGACAATATCTCTTGTTCTATTCAGTATTTTTACACCAAGTTTTGACAAGTTGTTTAAATGTGATAATCCTTATTAAAAATTGTATTTCAGTGATAAATTTTGAAATATAGGACCAGCGGTAAAGGTAATTTGCAGTTTTTCCTTAAAAAAGTATTTTTCGTATCCATCACCAGCCAAACATTTTCCTTTTATATTCACCTTGGGAAAGGGTTAAGCGTTTGTGAGTATCATTCTTCTTTTCGTACTTCACAAGCTACTACTCCTTTTTTTGGTTACTCTCACTAGTACCATGAAGCCGCTAGTAGTAATTAGATTAAGTTCTCTTTTCAAAGAAGCAAAATTACTAAAAAAGAGTACATAATTGGTTACAGTAGTTCGACGGAGTTCAGACGGTTCCCAAAGTCTTTTGACAGTTGCTATAACAATTTCACAAGTGTTGGGAGGTATTTCAACTCCTGTTGTGTAAGTGTATTCCTTCAGTGATGGGTTCAGCCCAACAAGTTTCAATATTGGACAACACAGTACCAGTAGTTTATATAAAAAAAATCACCACAAGAATGTATCTGATATTATTTTTTGTCTAGAGTCCGTCAAAAATTGCAAACTGATCTTTGAAATGTCAACATGTACAAATTGTTTTTCTTCCATATTTTCTCCTATTTCAAGGTTTGCGTGACCTTTCCGGCCATATGTTTCTGATGTCAATGTGGAATTTGGGTCATTATAACAGTCTTCACTCATATGAAATACTTTACTATGTCCAATACGTTTGACACGCGTGTCCCGAGGCTGCAACCTGATCTATATATTTCAGCATAAGAAATTGTTTTTGTTCTATATTTTCTCGTATTTCAATGTCAACATGACTTTTCCATTTGTTTCTCTGTAGGATATAATAATGCCAATGTGGAATGTAGGTCATCATATCAGCCTGTACTCATATATACATTATTTCATTAATCTTTTATGGAAAATGGAGTCCAAGCTATTTTGCTTTGATTTTTGTATCCCTGGTAAAAACTGTCTAAAACATATGTTTTCATGTTTGTCATCAATCGACACCACTTGAAATTTCAGAATGTTACAAATTATTTTCCTACGATTTTCTTACCTTTCCAATGGGTTGAGTATGAGGAAATCGCGCACAGAATTTTTAAATATAGGTCATCGAAAAAACGTTCATCATGTCAAAGAGCATTTTTGACATGTGTATTGTACGTATGTTCTAAGTCTGTGTAATGTTGTAGACAAAATCTCAGCGTGTAATTACAAACTGTTGTTGCAGTAATGTCAAAATATATTTCCCAGCTGAACGCTTCATCCCCCCCTTAGGCAATGACATTGTGAATTTAATGCAATGTGAACGAGGTCATGAAAATTTGCTTAAGTACCATTTTTTTCTTGGATAAAAACAGAAGAGCCAGAGACATATGATTCTTGAGTCGCTGCACCACTGGAGACAAATTCCAGCATGTTGCAAATTTCTTTTTTTTCATTTTTTCGTATTTCCATGTCAAAATGTTTTTTGAGATGCTCGCTTTTTGTTGCAAGGATCACTTTTCGGCGGGAAATTATTTCAAATTGTCAAAGACATATTTTGAAAAGACAACTGTAATGTGAGAGTCTAATATTAGAAGTGTAAACTTTTGTAAAACCCTTTCTCGAGGTTAAACCAACCTTCTTAATTGGTGTTATAATGAACAGATACACAGTTGGATAAATGATAACTTGACGCTTTGTTCAAAATATCAATCTTTTTTGGTTGAACGTATGCCACGTCAGCTTGGAGAATTTATCACTTTTGTCAGGAGACCACCCTGTGAAGTTTGCTTTTAATTATTCATAACGAAATTAACGTGCGCCGAAGTTGTGCATTTGTTTGGGAATTTATCAAGATATCTTTAAATGATTAATGCAGTTATGTTTTGGAGATTATTTAAAGAGATCACCATCCAAACTGGGATTTCCTTAGTTAAAAATGAGCAGACATTATTTAACACTTTCGAATTCTAACATAAGTGTAGTACAGCATTTGCGTTTTTAGGTTTCTCCATTAACATTCTGAATTTCAAATTACCCAGATCCTACATTGTGTTCTCTGTCATTAGTACCAGTTGATGTGTTTACCTTTGCGCAATCTGTTATCTTTCCCTGTTTTCTGGCATCTTTTGATGTAAATGTCTAGCTTATTTTTTGATTTCCCCTTCGAAAACAGTTATTTGGATCAAAGTCTGGACGGAATGTACATCGTGTCATCTCAACCTTATGGTTTTTATACCCCATAGCACTTATTCTCCCGAGAGTTATCTGCAAGAAGTCAAAGGTTATTGTTCAGTAACCACAATTTATATTAGTTTGACGTGAGACATGCACACCATTCGAAACCAATAATTAGGCTAAAAAATGATGCTTTATTTTGTTGAGAGTGGCATGTTTTTAGAATTATTTCACCCATTAGATGAAACATATGGTTTCATGGAGTCAATGCTCGTTTTACATACTTGACATTATTTTTTACATCATGCAGGAATTCATTTATATACATGGCTCTGAGAATGCAGTATATTACCGGTTATATAATCAATGAATAGTCCTCGATCCTTGAATTAATTTTTATTCGTCGATGTATGTAAAAGTCTATAATTGATCTGTTGCGTTTAGCACATAATGCATGCCAGACTGGATCTATGTCATACCAGACGTAACGTATTCCCAAAACAAAATACAATTGCGCTGTGTAAACGTGTTAAATACCAGATAAAAATAGTTGATACGTTGACCTTACCTGGTAACTGGCGGTTCATATCACATATCTGGCATTCTAAATGTAGACGAATCGCGTCTTCATACTTTGTGTAAGTCAATTTAATTTACTTTTGATTATTTAAAGTTTCAAGAGAGATATACAAAATATGTTTGTAGCCACTGGTTCACTGATTAAATAAAATTTATTGTTCGTTATCCGACGTATTCCCAACTTTTAATTCCCAGAAAACAAGCGAAAATTGAATAAGAACAAAACAGAAAACATATTGTACATATTGGGCTTATGATAAAAGCGCGGTAAAATAATGATGGACGTAGTTAAAGTAACACCCATTAATTTTCCTGTGTACACATTAACAAAGGCCGAACGTAATACCTGGAACGTGCCTCGTTCGCAATTTCAATGTATTCGACGTTCGGCTTTTTACCGTATACTATTCTATCAACCATGAAATATAAACCATTGGGAAATTCCACAGACGAATGCTCTAATGCAATACATCGAAATCATCGGATTGATTATGAAAAAACAAGGATTTTCGATACATAACCCCATATACCACGGGGTAGCTCCATATATGTCCCCTCTCTAATAGAAATAATACATAGATCACCCATTGAGACAAAAGGATATGGCCGAATCATTTCGTCATACTTTTTATAAAATTAACACAAGATAAACAAAATAAAAAATATATAAAATATGTATATTTTCACTGGTGATTACACTGATAAATCTTTATTTCAATCAACCATCGTCCCAATTCTTGATTTCGATTTTTGTCTTTTACCTTTTCAAAAGCGCCCTCTTCCGTTTCAACAGCACCCTCTGTGGAGTAGTCCCATTGTCTAATGAAGATCATTTAAAGCCCCGGATGTCGTGTCGTTTCGTTTGATACACAACTTAAGCCCCGGGTATTAAATAAGCCCTTGCATTGCATTGACCCGAATACTTTCTATTTTCAGCATGTAAATATGACGGAAAGACATATAAACACGATAGCGTGTGGCAACCGTATGGAAATCAAGACCCATGTTTTGTTTGCAAGTGCCATAATGGAGAATTCTTTTGTGAAACGCAAAAATGTGACAAACCTAATTGCCCAGGAGCAGTAGCCAAGGAAGGGGAGTGCTGCCCGAAATGCCCAGGTAAAGACATCACCCAAACATCTATTGTATTGTATTGTATCTTTATATCATTTAGCGTATATATATAAATTATATAATAAATATAAATTGTAATATTTAAAGATTATACGACAATAATATACTGATTTCTCTCTCTCTCTCTTTCAGATAGTGAAGAACTTGAAAAGGTACAGAATAGCTTGCAATTAAGTATACTTTCATAGTTTAAACATAAAAAACTATCGAACTTCACTATTGTGTTTTCATGATATATTTCTATTTATTGTGAGACAGAAATACACCACTTTGTATCTAAGCACAGGTGCAAAAGGGAAAGGACCAAAAGCTGTAATGGAACCTAGCAAGAAAAAGCAAACTCTATTCGTGCATACCAGTCATAAGAAAAGAACCAAGAACCAATCCAAGACCAGAACACCAACGGACATTTCATTCATACTGACGTCATTACAATAATATATGTAGAAGCAAAAATAGAATTTTATAATTACTTTCAAGGGTCAAAACCCATTTGCAAAGCTGTCAAAGTAATCCATAAAACACAGTAATTCACAATGACCATTATGAAAAAACTATGGCTGGTTTCGATCCCAAATTTTTCAACCATTAAAGTCATTTTATACTTGAACGTTACTTATAGTATACCATCATTCGGAAATATAATATATTTTAATATTTCAAGATGAGGGCTGCTGCAGAAGAGAGACTTGTGACAGTACAAGTAAGTATACGCACATTGAAAACATTGTATCATGTAAATATAACTAAATGAATGCAAACATTTGCTTAAAACATTTAAGACTAATGAATGTGCAACGCGTTTTCAGTAAATGATAATTATCATTCAAAATACGTTACAGAATGTTCATATTGTGTACACAATTTATATACATTGGGGATTTGCTTTTAGGGACCTCCAGGACGCATCGGAAGAGCTGGACCTCGTGGAGGTCAAGGAGATAGAGTAAGTAGCTATGTCTTTAAATCATTCAGAATAACACATACATTAAAAAAGTACATGAGCTGTCTAAAAATTAAAAAACGCGCACCTTATCTATTCATCAGATATAACTGATGGTTGCTTGACCAAATTTTCGTTGGCACAGTTGTACCCTCCACAATACTCTAGACGATTCAGCGGCAATACATAATATACATGTATATATGAGCTTAATATATATGATTATAAATTATAGGGTGACGAAGGTAGCGATGGTAACAATGGCGTCCCAGGGCCACCTGGTCCACCAGGTCCTCCAGGAGAGGTAAGCCGACTTTATTGAGCTTTTTTATTTGTTAAATGAAATATTATAACTTGTTCAATTTGACCAGTCATTGATATTTAATTCAACATCATTTTTGTAAAGTTCTTAATGATATGTGATGTGAAATAAATGTGTATGTGTAGAGATTTCTTTTAAAAGTATTCTTAAATAATTTATTGAAAATAGCCCCTTGCTGAAATCCTCTATAACTTTAAAAACTCCAAGCTTTAAAAACAGGAATTAGAAGAGCAAAATGGATACTATTACAAGTGATAAAAACTAAGGTTCTTAAACAGGACATGTGTCTTGATTTTCTGAGGATTTAGGTTAATACTACAGAATAGATCACAGTATGATTTCAAGATAAAAAAAAGTCAAATAGAGCTGAATTAGTTTATGTTTGTTTTTTAACATTCCATGTGCAGTAATTGTCAAAAAGTCTACTGATAGATTTCTATTTTAAGTGAAATGTACTTGAAGTATTGTATGTAATTATATACCAGTGTCAAAATTTTACAACAATTAGTTTTGCATCCAAAATATATGAAAATTATAATTTAAAACAATAAAAAAGTGTTTCATGTGCATTTTAATTATTTTCTGTAGATTTGAATTAGTATTTTAGTGTAAATAGAATGTCGTATAGAATATTTACTTGTATATTCTATACAGGCACTGTAGTGTATTCTGTTTTCTTAGTTTTATTTATTCAGAAAAGTTAATATCTCCTTGATTCAATATTCTGTTACTTTTATTTTTGGTAATGTGTTTTTTTTATTTCTGAGTGGATTCTCCTCAATATTATGTCTATATTTTGTTTGCTTTACATCCTTGGTTGCTTTGGTTACGTTATAGGCTGCAGCATCTACTTGGGACCAAGTTAGGTCAAACTGGCAGAACTCTGATAAAGCAGGCGGGGCTCAGTTCCCTCCTTCTATAGTTGCACAACAGGTACCATTGTCTGTGTGTCAACAAATAATCCCCTAACCCTCCTAAACCCCTAACATCATGTAACACAGTCTAAAACATCGAAATTTCAGTCTCTCTCTAAGGAGCTGGAATTTGGTTGGATGGTGAAATATGTGGTATTGCATCAGAACTCAAGAGACGAAAACCAGGACAGTACAAGGATCCACTTAAATATTCATATTAAATGCAAACCATAACTGTTTCACCATTATGGAACTGAAAGCACTTATTTACTACTTATATTCTACAGTATTTTAATGGCATTGGTTACAGGCACAGGCAGCATATTGGGATACATTGAGAGAAAGCTGGCAACAAACTGAGAAGGGACCTGGCCCAAACGCGGCCTACCGTGGTCCAGCAGTGATGCAGCAGGTTGGGAAGTCATATCTTATTAACCTTAATGTTCTCAAGGATATGGATACGTTTCTAAACATGTCTAACATAACACACACTGTTGAAATATTATCTAACTCTCTAATGAATAAAACAATTGTTATGTTGATAAAAAACAGGAAAATTAACTTTTACAAAAAGATTACACGTTCATTTTTATCACTTACATATTTACTAATGAATCTTAATATAAACTAGAGAACCATCTAAAATAAACTAATGATATTATTGTATTTTCAATGCAACTCTATGTTTAATGTAACTAATGCATTTGTAGTATTTACCTTTAAACATGCAATAGTCATACTTAAAACAAAACAAAAACATTTTTAGATAATATAAAATATTTAATTGAAATGAATTTCAGCACAAGTTAGTTCACTATATACAGAAAAATCATTTCTTATATCTAGGTTTGCTTCCATCCCCTCAATTTTTGTATCTTTTATTATAGGGTCCAATCGGTCCAAGAGGTTCACCAGGACAACCGGGTCCAGCAGTAAGTATTTTAATCAGGGTGATATATTCTGTAAAACATAACGAATCACGACATGAAGAATAAATATTTAGACTAAAGAATATGATAAAGCTTTTTAAGAGCTGAGTTTCAGGATACATGTTTATAGTAGCGTTGTAGCGTAGTTAATACAAAGTAGTTCTGCTGCCTGGAATAGCTTTACACTATTAAGGCGTTCTTTAGAATGTCAGACGCAACCTTATAGTTGGAAACGATTAATATTTTACAGACAGATTGTAAAAATAAACGTTCATGAGAACAATGTTTTATTAACGGTTTAACCTAAGGAACAGGCACATCTCATCTTTGCATGTACAGTCTATTGAATTGTACCTACTCGAGCGCAATAAACAAGATGAATTAACAACAGATTCTAGAAATTAAGATAAATGGGACAAAAAAAGAAGTTAGTTTCTTCATAACCAAGAAGCTGGCTAGCTAGCTATACCACATGTAACGGAAACTAACGGAAATGCTTGCGGTCTTATGTTACCCATGTCAGCATAATAAACAATTTGTATTCAGACTTTTTTGATGTTCTAATTTCGGACTTATGAACTAGATCTAGCTACTCTGGTAAAAAATAAAAATTATTTTTGGTGGATTGAGCGTTGTCTGCGTCAAACATGCTGTTAAGTGAAAACACGTGGGGCACTACTATCGACTACCCGAATATCCTAAAATAAATTAGTAAGGCTGGAAATGTTGTTTTTTGTATTGTTGGTAACCGCAGACTCACCACAAGGACATTTTTCTTATTTATTGTCTCTTGTTTTAAGAAAAAAATTAAAATCAATGTTCTTGACATAAGGGTTTTCCAGAACAGTCTTGTTTCTGCTGGTCGCCGGACAGTTGGCAAAAACAGGATATAGATTTGACCCACCCGGGTCACCGCTAAAATAATATATTATTGCAAAGAAAATGAAATTATAATGAACCGATTTAGCCTTCTTAAATGTTTGAATGTTAATATGTTGACGTTTTGTTATAGGGTCCCCAAGGTTTCCAGGGTATTCGAGGAGAGGCAGGAGAGCCAGGACCACCGGTACGGATGCCTTTGATAACATGAAATATTTCTATAAAAAGAATTATAATACGAATTATCTACGAAAAGTAATATAATTTTAATATATACTTGATATTCTATTATATAATATATACATAAAGCGACATCCATAAATTAGAATAACATTGGTGAGAAATATTTATACAAAATAAACTAATTCTAATCTTTGTATATTTCAGGGTCCATCAGGTTTGAGAGGACCCCCAGGTCTTTCTGGTCTGCAAGGAAAAGATGTAAGCATTAGTCCTGAAAAGTTTAAAAGTCAACGTGCCCTAGTCATTACTTAGCTTTTATAGCACAAGTATGCTAAAAAGTATAAACGCGTATTTATAGAAATAGTTTCACACCACTATTTTACCTGATCACATGTCTGAAAAGTCGCAAGATTCAACTGCAAACAGTTTATTCTCTTTTCAATCCGTTCTAACTGTATATCCTGGAGAGGCCACCCGCATTCATAAGTTCATAACCTAAACCGTTACTCCATGGATAAATCTCAAATTTATTCAATTTTTGTGTGGTTCATGAATAATTCGAGGGGTTGCTAACAGTTCTATAAATCCTGATTAGATGGATTTACTTATGCAAGTTCAAGTGTGAATCCATTTGGTGTGGATTGGCTAAATCCAAAATGATCTGGGATTTAACTTTCGGCTGTCGGCTATCGGATTAACCTACTATTTTATGACCAACTGACTTAAATATGAATAGTACCTGCCACTATTCCTTGCATATTTAAATGAGTTTTCCACAAAAAGTAAGTTAATCCGGTAGCCGACAGCCGAAAGTTGCATTCGCGTATACAAGATAACATTTATTTGGATAATCCCCGGCACAAGGACTATAGTTAAATTCTTCAATGTTCCAGGGTGAAGTTGGACGTGATGGTGATCCCGGCTCAAGAGGTCTCCCAGGGTCTCCTGTAAGTTTTACTTATATATCTTGTATTAGAAGGGAAATTGCAGTATTCGTAAATGTTATACTTTTAAACAAGTAAAATTGCTAACATGTCATAATGGCTTAGCTATGAATTTTGGTCAATAAATCAAAAATGCTTATCTGTCTTTCCACTCAAGTTCCAAATTGAATTACGATTATGTCTGGTTTTTGTACAACCTCCTTGCTCTCTTTCAACATGTCAGCTTTAGTTAGACCAATTACAAATTCCGATTTTGCTTTTCTGTGCTCCTTTATTGTAGAGTGTGTAGTTTGCAGAACTATGAACGTAATAAACCATTTGTTTTAGGGTCCAAGAGGTCCATCCGGAATGCCAGGTATGCCAGGACCAAAGGGACACAGGGTAAGTATAATATACCTTGAACAAGCGAATAATGTTCGAATATGATGTGTAACCTGGATAAACGGAGATTTAAGGCATGAGCAAAAAGATCAATTCTAATTGGTCCATATTAATAAATGAACGTATAAGCATTCATTTGCCCGATTTGCTGCTTTACCACTATTTTATGTTTTTGGAATTTCATTTTAGGGTTACCGAGGTCAACCAGGATCTAAGGGAGAACAAGGGCGTGGTGGTGAGAAGGGTCCCGAGGGATCCCCTGGTCCACAAGGTCCTCATGGACCAGTTGTAAGTACATGTACAGTTTCAATGTTTACTAGGATATAGCATCATGAAGGCTTTAAAACCAACATCAAAATGAAAATAACACAAATGTTCAATGATTGTTTCTCAAAAAGTTGACAAGCTAAAGCATATATATATGATATTTTATATAGTTATTACTTTATGCAGAAGAAATGCAATCCAATTCAGTAATTATTCTATCTTAAATAATATCAATTTATAGGGAATCAATTGCATTGTGTTGTTGACTTAATCTTAATGCTTGTATCATCTCATGTTTAGGGTCCAAGAGGTCCAGCTGGTGAGCGAGGTAGAGATGGTAAACCCGGTCCTGCAGTAAGTATCCCTTCTATACAACAGCATGCAAGTGGACCAACATAGTTGTAATAGTAATAGAATAGAAAAAATGGTTTGTACTTTCCTAAAAAAATATAATTTAGAAGTCGTCCATTCGTGCAAAATAAAGTAAAATATCACGCTTACTTGTTCAATATTTTAGGGTCTTAGAGGTGTTGATGGTCTAGGAGGTCCATCTGGTCCACCAGGTCCAATCGGTCAACCAGGTCCACCAGGATTCCCAGGCGCACCAGGAGCCAAAGTAAGGATTTGAGTGTGAAAAAATATATATCATTACACTATAAATTAGTCCTGATTATGATAGTATAGTTTTAATGCTGTAATTTACAACACTACTCCAATGTGCCTCCAAAAGCAGGCTAGCAATAACAAGACATGTGCGGCAAATCTAATCATCATAATTATTATATTATAGGGAGACAGAGGAGCACTAGGTTTGAAGGGTAATCATGGTTTACAAGGTCCACGTGGTGAAAATGGAGCTCCAGGAGACGCTGGTCAACCAGGACACCAAGGTCCCCCCGGTAGAGATGGAGTTAATGGAGACAAGGGAGACAGAGTAAGTTTTCATAGTATTTATATTAAATGTTTATTTTTATATTTATTTACATGTCAGGTGTGAACCTTGGTGGATGGACAAGATGCGAGTAGAAATAATTTTGATTTAGCCTACATCATTAAATAAATAAAATTCAGTCAAAGTGATATCATTTTTGAAATACACTTTATAGAAAATATTCTGAACATTTGGCCTCACTAAAATGTGATACTTCATTGCTCCATATCACGCGAATTCAGTTTTCCGTTTTTTTCATTTTAGGGATCACCCGGTGGCCCAGGAAATCCAGGTTTCCCAGGACCCCGTGGCCAGAACGGACAAGATGGACAACCAGGCATTCAGGGAATCAAGGGAGACTCTGTAAGTTGATATTCCAAAGTTACTTTGAGACGATTTCATAACTATTGCCCTTATTGTCAAAATGTTTGATATTTAATGTTGTTATCTGTAGGGCCAACCTGGACAACAAGGTTACCAAGGAGAAGCTGGACCAAAAGGTTCACCTGGTACTTCTGGAGATAGAGGTGCCCCTGGTCTTACCGGACCACCAGGCAAACGTGGATCAAGAGGTGCCACCGGAGCACCAGGACCTGCTGGCCTTCAAGGAGAGAGAGGTCCCCCAGGTGGTAGAGGTGCTGCTGGAGCTGATGGTCCTTCTGGTCCACCAGGTCCATCCGGTGAACGAGGAGAGAGAGGACCCAATGGAGAAGTTGGACCAACTGTAACTATATTATTATTAGTTTTCTATAATAAAAATATAATAATTCTAAAAAACGTTCGGTTGTATAATAGAAGTATTTTACATAATACGATCAATTGTTTCTATTTCAGGGCTCACCTGGTCCCCGTGGTTTGAACGGTCCACCAGGTCCAAGAGTAAGTATAATCTTATAAACATATTATAAAGTAATCATAATCATAAATAACTTTTTTAATATTCCTGTAAGCTGTGATTCATTTGGATATAACGTTTTTGTAATTTCCTTTTTAAAGTATTTAGAATCTTAGACATAACATGTCATGTGTATTACTATGTATGTTTCTTTTAAAGGTCTATGGGTTCTTGTTGCTATTGTTTCTTTAAGTTTTGTATTCTTGCAACTATTGTAGGGTATTGATGGCCGAGCAGGATCAGATGGTAAACCAGGACCCCCTGGTCCACAGGTAGACAAATGGCAACGATATAACACTGTTTGCTTCCCAACATTGCAACATGTGTTGAGACAAGTTTCAGACATGACGTGTAACACGTCAAAGTGAAAAGGAAACGGTTGATCGTGTTACACATGTGTTGACAGATTAAGAAACTTTTCTCCATACAGTTGCTGTTGTTTCATGAGTTCATTCATATAATGGTAATCACATACTAACTTATAGGGAACTAATGGATCACCTGGTAAAGATGGCTTACCCGGTCCAGCTGGATTCCCAGTAAGTATGAGCTATACTGATCCTTCTAATTAGAGACGATATCATTTCTAATCAAACGACGCTCTCAAATGTTAACATAACATGAGCAATTCATTATCATCATTATTGCATAAAATTGTATTAATATCATTTCACATCAGAATAGTACTATAGCTTTAAAAGTCAAAAAAAGCTTAAGATTATATTTCCGACTCAATTTGGTATTTGGGCACGAATATATATTTACCTATACAATAACATAGGGTTTTGAAACCTATAGTACATTAAATTATTATCAAACGCTACGTATTACATTGCATCCAATATTATATGTATTTCGCCTTCTTCACAGGTATATTTATCATTACCTAATTGAGAATATACGCGTACTAAAACGTTGAATGCCTATTTTCATTTATTAATTATAAACTTTTTGTTTTATCTTTTTTCATATTAATGTTATTTATTATTTCATATTTTTTAAATTATATTTTATGATAAAGTTATATTTTGTTCGTTAGACGTAAATATTTTTATCTTTATGAATTATTACAATTTTTATTTTACCTATATTCTATTCTTTCTGTTGAAATAATTTAATAATAGATATATATAAGTACTTTCATTTTTGGTATTTCAGTGACAAAACATATAATTTTGTTAATGATATTGTTATAGATGTACTAATTTTATCATAGCTGTCGTTAAACGTCTCATTTTCTACATTTAACCCAGTGCTATTTACAATAATAATTGCTTTGGTATGTTTCAATGAATCAAATATTTTAGGGTGAAGCTGGTCAAGACGGCAAACCAGGTGAACAAGGACCACAAGGTATCCAAGGTCTTCCAGGTATGCAGGGAACGCCCGGCCAGAGAGGATTCCCAGTGAGTTCATATAATTAGTATCAAAATATATCATATAAAGCAATAGCGATGATTCGATTACTGACTAGCATTATAATTTACAGGTTTGATAATATTCTATATTTTATTTAAGTAAGATCTATGTTATAAGTGATATCACTTAATTCAAGATGAATAAAAACAGAAGGAGCTCACGTGTCTCGAACTGAAGACCTCGTGGTTATGACACAGCGCCTAGTTTGGCTTGTTTCTTATTGATGTGATGTATTCTAGGGAGAGGCTGGAAAAGATGGAAAACCTGGAGAGACTGGACCATCAGGACCACAAGGGGACCGAGGCAAACCAGGCAACGATGGTAAACCAGGACCACAAGGAGCTCCCGTAAGTTACACTAAGTAACTATATAAATGTGATAATATTTAGGATTTTTGTTCCTCAGATTTCATAATCAATAATATGTTTAATATCGTGAATTCCAATTCAATTCTGATTCATGAATGCTTTTCACATGATATAAGCTTTGATTTCATTATTTGATTAATTTCACTTTAATGCTTTCTTTAGCAATATGATTATACTACAATACAATCACCAGGCCATGTAAATGATATCCATGATGTCTATTTTGTATAGGGAGAGGCCGGTGATAGAGGTCAGCCAGGTAATCCAGGACCACCAGGATTCCAGGTATGTTCATATAAACAAATATAAAAATGTATATACAGTAAGGGTATTTGACACAACAGCAATTATAGTTTCATGTCATTTGGGCATATAGGTCCGTGTTTCTGGTATAATTTGATTATCTAAAAATATTTTTATGTTACATTGTATATTTCTCATATCTATGAATCATGCTACTTAATATGATGATATGTTTATTTCAGCATCATTGAGCGGCACAATGTCGAATGATCAACAACGCTTTGTGCCCCTTCTCTGCGAAACTTCGTTTATTTTTAGTACAATACAGTACAACAGTTGACTTTGTTTTCAGCGATTTTGTAATATCTATACATTTGACATTAATTAAAGTTACATAATAAGAATAAATTCAAAAAATAACTTTAAAGTATACATACATTTTATTTAAATGATACAAGTTTTGTTATATGGTATTTCGGGCGGCTATTGTAGGGACTCCCCGGAGAGAACGGCAAAGCAGGAGAGCCAGGCAAGCCAGGAGAAGTCGGACCTCCTGGACCACAAGGGTCTAGGGGTGATGTTGGTCCACCGGTGAGTCAGGATGTGATCACAACACATCAAGGAAAGGACTAACCAAATAACTGCGCAACATTACATAACCACTGGACATAACTCCATACCTAACACTCAGCTTTAATTGTTTTCAGTACTAAGGATGGCAACCATGGAGTAACATTAACTATAATGTCATCAACTAATCATCGCATAATAATGTATCACAATTCAGGGTTTACCTGGTGAAGCAGGCACAGCTGGTGAACCCGGCAAAAATGGAGAAATTGGACCTCCTGGCCCAGCCGGGTCTCGTGGTGGCGTTGGCTTGCCGGTATGTGAGTGCCTGCTGCAAACGCACTTGGGCTCGGACTGTATGTCTGTTTTGTATGTTCAGTGTCGTTGCATCATACATTGTATTGTCGTCTCTGTGTGCTTGAAACATCAGCCCTTGCATGTTAGGCAACAGTATGATTATTAGTGACGGAAGGTCGTCGACTTCTGCAAATGATGTCTCAACAGGTGCATTAAAGAGCATGTAAGCATAAAGAAAATGTTCACTATGTGCATATTTAGGGTCTTCCTGGAGAAGTAGGACAACCAGGAACTCCTGGAAAGGATGGTGATGCTGGGGCAGCTGGTCCCCAAGGTGCACGTGGTGCGATTGGATTACCCGTGAGTGACCGCGATTTCCACACGTAGATTTGAAAGCTAGTCCATTCAATACCCTTTGTATTTTAGACTCCGTAGTACTTTTAAGTTTCATTATTATCCTTTCGATCCTAGCTTACGAGATTACCTTTTCCTTGCTTCTAACCCTTGTAGGCACCAACATTATTACATCTTATACATCAACGAAATCAGAATTGACATCAGAGGAAAATTAGAAAAACATTCCTCTTCATTGCTTATATGTTTCTACTGTTTTATTGGTACTATACCTAGTACAAGTGTACAACACTCACAAATGAACTTTGGAGGAACAGCTAAATAAACAAACGGATTTTGGAAAAAACAATTGGGCGAGTTGTACTCGTATTTTTACTAATTATGATTTTCTGTCTGGCATTTGAACTTTTTGTCTTTCGTTGTCTGGGATCAAAAGGTTCCAGTGCCTTTGCGGGTTGAGTTAACCTTCAGAGAGCTTTCCACCATTTCAATATCTCTTCTCAGCATCTCTTGGTGGTGGTTTACATCTTGAGATATCCTGAAACTGCGGTCCTATTCCACATACTATTTATGTTTCAATTGTTTACCTTTGTATATTTTCCTTTTATATTTTGCTGTCATTCAATTGCATGTTTATTTGCATTCAGTATTTCTTTTTTGAATTTGTTAGTTCGTTCGTAATTGTCATGCATTCTTATTAATATTATTGCATGTATGTCAAGTCCTTTGTTTCACATTAACATGTTCAACATCTAAACAAAATGCCAGTATTTGATATTCTTAACTGAATTAACCATAATTTTCTTAATTCAATATATGGAAGCTATTTAGTAAGATGCTTACTAAAAATACTGATTTATAAAAAGATGAATATAGCTGCATGAGTGAGGGATATTATTTCTAATTGTTGTTTATTATGTTTTCAAAATGGAAAACGAGCAGAGGTAAGTGCACCCATATGGTACATTGATACAACTTTTATCAAATTTGATTCTGGAATTACTCTACGGTAACCTTTTTATAGTCCAAGTTGTACCTAAATAGATGGTGTTTATAAGCTGATCCCCTTTAATGTAATGTAAACAATCACGTCGAAATATATTATCACAAATAAATGTAATAGAGCAAATTAAACTAAAGATGTAGAACAAAGTGTAACATATAACTTTGTGAAAGTACAAAGACTTCCTGTGGTAACAAAAGAACACGTTAACTTATAGGGAGAGCGAGGTCAACCAGGAGAACGTGGCGAGGCTGGAAAAACTGGAGCACCAGGAGATCGTGGACCAGGTGGACCCTCAGGAAAAGATGGTGAACGAGTGAGTTAATTAAAAAGTAGTTCATCGTCAAAAAATGAATCAAATGACATTATTAGATACTATATACATGTATGAATTTGAAGAAAAGTAGTCTACTTGGGATTTACTAAACAATTTAAGTTACATAAGTTAAAGCTAATATGTGGCCCCATCCCGCTTGGTTCTGTTATTGTTTTCTTGGTTGACTCTGATCGTTTCTTCATAAACATTTATGCTAAACATGTTTGTTATCTAATACAGGGACTGCCTGGAGAACGAGGAGAGCCAGGACCCCAGGGAACTGCAGGTTTAGTGGTGAGATAATATTCTTTTAGCTTAGCATTCAAATAATATCAATGATTTAAAACTAAAAGTACCCTAAACTACAAGTTGGAATACTCATATAATCAAAGTACATGATTTATCATAAACTTACTGAAAATTAAAAATCAAATCTCACTGGAGTATCAGACATTGAAAAGAACAAAAAAACTGATTGACATCAACTAGTGACAGAGTGTAGTGTAGTTAAGTGACGATACGTGTTTCTGAAATTCCAGGGTCTGCCAGGTCAACGAGGAGAGCCAGGAACATCAGGACCAAAGGGAGAACGAGTAAGTTAGGCTTGTCTGGATTTAAGTACTAGTATTTACAGTAGAGTAATATGCTTTAAAATGTCAATTGGTAGGTTAAAGTCCTTCACAGTATGTAGTACGTTTGAAAAAAACAATTACAATTTACAATTACAGTAATAACCTTCATATTTGTAATTACTTTTACAATAGAAATTCACTGTCACAGGTATGTATGCGGTGTTCGCAGGGGTTGGGTGCGTTGGTTGCGAACACACCCCCTTCTTGACCAAATGCCCAAAAATTTCGTTATTCAATACTCAGAGGAAATAACCATGTGCTCCAGAGAAAATGGTGGAGAAGCTAGGCTTCAAGTGCAAGCTATAATGTTTTTTAGACACACCCCTTGAAAAAATCCCAGGGACGCCCCTGGTATACATGTAAACTTGTACTTAAGTAAAATTGTTTATCTAGATGGCATTATTAATTGTGTTCTTTAATTGATTTACTTTTCCTAAATGTTATATAGATGATTTCTTTGTTTTAGGGTAACAGTGGAAATTCTGGACCACCAGGACAACAGGGTAAACAGGGTCTCCCCGTAAGTATGCAGTATTCAATAGACTCATTGAATATTAATGTTGATTATAATCAACCTCGTACATACATAGTAAGAAATCAGAAAGGTATAATTTTTTCATCAATTATTCCTACATTATATTTGCGTTGCAAACTGTTAATAGGGTGAAGCTGGAACCCCTGGTCCAAGTGGGCCCCAAGGGTTAGCTGCTCCAAAAGGTGAAAATGGACAACCAGGTCCAGCTGGGCCTAGAGGAGCGACGGGTAAATCAGGAAACAGAGGGGCTCCAGGAACACCAGGACCAGTTGGTCTCCCAGGAACTCCAGGACTTGCCGGTAACCCCGGTCCTAAAGGTGACACTGGCGCTGCAGGTCCCCGAGTAAGTTCTAATTTTTTTCATAAGCATTGAAAATATTAACATTGAATTTTATATTATAGGGTGAACAAGGTCCTAAAGGTGCAGTAGGTCTCCCAGGTAAAGATGCACCAAAAGGTGAGGATGGCGCTGCAGGGCCACCAGGTCCAAGAGGTGCCCCAGGTAAAACTGGCAACAGAGGGGCTCAAGGGTCACCAGGATCTCAAGGACTGCCCGGTACCCCTGGACTTCCAGGCCAGGCTGGGGCAAAGGGAGACGGGGGAGCAGCAGGTCCACGTGTGAGTAAGGCGTGATCAACTGAGCCTGATGACCACTCACATGTAACAAATGATGTTATAATTCAACTCACCTATAACTTTTTTCTCTTATAGGTCTAACTATAACACATGGTATGATACTAGCATACAAATGTACCAAGGATGTGCAAAAGGATGTGTCCATGCAGAAAAATAATATACATTATGATAACATAGAATATAACTTGTAATGAAAGCTAAGCCTACTATTCTAATCTCGAGATATGCATATAATAGATGTTTATTTTAATAAACCTAATTGAAACATTATGAAAATGGTTTGACTCAACCAGTTTGCTTGTTGTTTGGATGATATTATCATTTAAAATGGGTTTGTTTTGTTTGATTTAAACCTGCATGTTTATTATTTACTCAGTTTTTAGGGTGTCCACTATCTTTAGCCTAATACTATCATGTAACCCTGTATGTATCTTGATTTGTTTGAGTTATCTATCTTTTTATTAATTCTGATTGTGTTATATTACTTATAAATCATTTAGGTTGTAACTTTATTTTACCCGAATATTATCTGTTATTCCTTTTGAAACAATTGCTTTCAAATGGTATTAGTTTTGCCCCAAAATTATTTAAGTTGATATCAATAGAATCTCTTTTTTATTTTGCCTTTCAAGTATTCTCGACCCTTGTGATTTTCATTTCGATTAACCTGAGTATATTATATTTATGTTTTGTTTTGCATTCTGTCCTCTATCCTTTAGATATTCTGTCGCTTAATTTGACCCTCTTTTCAATGTCCAAAATCAATAGTATAGCCTCTAACTACTCCATAATGCAATGTGTTTGATATTTGATGAATAGGGTCCCAATGGTGCTATTGGTGTCCCAGGTCCCCAAGGAGAAGCAGGTCGAGCTGTAAGTATAACTTTTACACATACTGTACATCTAAATTTTACAATCTGACATATTTTTGTTTATAGTATATTTTAAAATTCTTTGTTAATATAATTGTGTATAGGCTCTGTAACTTGTTATATCAACTGATTCAATGATTCTCCTAAGAAAATAAATGCTTCTGACATGAATGATTCTTAAAATAGGGAAAAGACGGTATCCCAGGTAGACAAGGAAAGAGAGGAGATCCAGGTGTTCCCGGAGACGCAGGACCACCAGGTGCCCCAGGACGACCAGGTCAATCAGGATCTACTGGCCAACCTGGAAGCCCAGGTACCCCAGGAGCAGCAGGCAAAGAAGGAATCAAGGTATCAATTTTATTGAATACTGGATCTGGGCGCTAAGACTGTTATCTTAATCAGAAATATGTTGCTCTCTTATTTATTTATTTTTAGTTCATTTGTTCATTCTTCATACATAACATCTTGTTCTCTTATTTAGAGTTGCAGGAAGACTTGATTGGTTCATTACATAGTGTACCAATATATTCGATAGGAATACTATAAGTATTCTATACTAGAGTATTAGGTTTACTCAATTCAATGTTTACAATTTAATGACATGTTACTTATTCATCTCTTCTATTACTTAGGGAAGCCGTGGTGAGTCTGGACGACCAGGTAAGGATGGTATCAACGGAAACACAGGACCTCAGGGACCCCCAGGAGAGAAGGGCGGTAATGGTGAAGATGGCAAGGATGTGAGTGTTGCTCAGTTGCTGGAACATGAGAACTTAATACAATATGTCCCATTGTTTAGTTATATAATAGATCTTATTGCTAAATTAATGAAATTATCCAATGCAAATAAGCAATTTATTCTATTCAAAATTGCAGTATATCATAAGAGTATATTCTAGGTATTCTTTTAGTTTTGCATAGTGCTGATATTAAACGAAACTTATAATGAGTAACCAATTTATAATAAGATGCATACCTTGCCATTTGTGCTATGATAGGGTTTACCAGGTCCCCAAGGTCCACCAGGCCCACAGGGAGAGCGTGGTCTCGTAGGCTTACCCGGTCTGAGAGGAGAGCGTGGTCCAACTGGTGCTGGAGGACCAAGAGTAAGTTGGATAGTTTGCCTAATATTAGCACTTACTAATACTTCTACATGTGTGTTATATTTAGGGTGCACCCGGTGTTCAGGGACCTCCCGGTCAAGCGGGTAACCGTGGATCACCAGGAATGCCAGGTATGGCTGGGGAGAGAGGTCCTACGGGTCCCGCCGGAGGACGTGTGAGTTACATTCACCAGACTAAGCATGTGCCTTGCCACACGCTTACGATCACCTTGACGTGGTCGAACTTGCATTTCATGTCCAAAGAAGTTGCTGCTCCAGTAGACTCCGATAGGAATACTTTTTTTGTAGCTTTCCCTACCAATTTCGCCTTATCCGATGAAGGTTTTTGTTGCATTCCTTCAGACATATCAGTTATCTCAAGCATATACGTTTGTTGGTTTGGCAGAAAGGAGAAGGTGACACCCGGAGTTTCAAGTAAACGTTTATTGTGAAAATAAATATATTAAAGTTAAGTTTTCTCAAAAGATGCAGACTCAACAACCATTCGTTCAAATCATATTCTGATTCATAGACGCTGCATGTCTTCTTCCTCCTTGGCCCCTTTGAACGCCAATCTCCATAGATCACATTCCCAAACCCATATGCGTGCATGTTTAGGTACTTCCTCGCAAAGCTACATATACTATATGAATTCCCATGAGGCGTCTCTTTGTATCTTTGAAATGCTGTTGAAACATAGATGATGGTGCGCAACAATGAATTTAGGAAACAAGTTGGGCATGTGTTTGAAAGAAGAAGGGAGGCGGTTTATGATCGATGAAGTTGTGTAGGGTCTGTATCTTTAAAAAGACGAAACTTCGGGTGAGACGGGCTGCCCATGTAGTAGTTTAGATTGCTATGGTATTACAAACACAGTCTGCATGTGTTTAAGGTGTGCCCTATGGCCAGCTGAGTAATTATTTTAGTTGTACATATATGAGCTATTATACCTCATGAATGTTTGCCAAATGGACGTGATATTTCTGTTGGTGTGTGTATGAGACTAGCTTCTATAGTTTTATATTCAGTTTTACCTTGTATTGTATAAATGTGTGTTGCATTTTGGAATGCGATGTCAATCCAACTGCTGGAATCAAAGCACCAACTATTCAATTGTCTTCTCAAGATGTACTTGGTTTATTATATCGTCTCAGACTCCCGAGAGCCAAATCAATTACTATATATTAACAAACTTTTATTTTGCATCATGGAATAAGGTGTAATTCATTAAAGATGCAGCCCCTATCATTAAACTCTTTACGCATTCATCACATTTCTACTTCATTTGCACATTAAATGCACTGGAGCATATCCACTACTGTTTCGCAACGTATTCATCGCATGAACATTGAATATGACGTTTTTAATCAATACGTAGAATATGATATATTTTAAAGCATAGGTGAAGGTGTTTGGTCAAAAGTTTTCTTTAGAAATGAATTATACTGGGTCTGCATCTTTAGAGGATAAGATATGGATAATGTAGAATTTCTTTTTACTTAAATAACACTGATTTTTTAATGTATTAATTTAGAGATATATGTGTATTAAAATTATGTAAGTGATGATCATAAACCATACAATTGTAAATATGTGTATGATAATGACTCGCGTATGCAAATTAGTTAAACCGTATGCTCAGCCAATCAGGATCAAGATAAACATCTAAGCTTGTATTCGCGAATGCAAATAGCGGCTGTTGGCCACCGGATTAATCTACTATTTTATGACCAATTTATTTAAATATGAATAGGACTTGCCACTATTCCATTCATATTTAAATGAGTTTGTCATAAAATATTAGGTTAATCTGGTAGCCGACAGCCGAAAGTTGCATTCGCAAATGCAAGCTAAATGTTCTAACTGTTTTCGACAAATGGGCTACTTAACATATTTTTGATTTTTTAGTCAAACAATTTGTGAATGGTTCTAATTTTGATTTTGATTTTATAACAGATTTCCTGAGAAAAAGTAACAAAATATTTTTGAAACTGGATTAAAATTACCTTTGTCATTTTAGGGTGAATCAGGATCAGCCGGAAAAGATGGACGGCCAGGTGACAATGGACGACCAGGACCACAAGGCAACCCTGGACCACCAGGTCTCACTGGAGAACAAGGACACGAAGTAAGTTTATTTAGAAGTAAGACAGATATACTGTAGTTGTATTGTAGCTGTACTGTAGTTAGTACTATAGAATGCCATTTCATGTTTTCTTTTTAATAGCAATACACACAGACTCAGTTATATCACGTTTTATATTTGCTTAGGGTACACCCGGTAAAGATGGTGCCCCTGGTCTTCAAGGACGCCCAGGAGACAAAGGACCACCCGGCTCTGCAGGCAACCCAGGACCACAAGGTCTCCCAGGACCTCAGGGACCCCCAGGCGCAACCGGATCTGCTGGTTCTCCAGGAGCCCGTGGTGAGAACGGAGAACGTGGTCCAGCTGGTGTCCGAGGACCTCCAGGTGCTAGAGGCTCAGCAGGATCTCCTGGTGTACAGGGAGAGAAGGGTCAGCGTGGAGATAGAGGAAACAAGGGAGATAAGGGTTGGCAGGGTCTTCCAGGTCTCCAGGGTGTGACTGGTAACCCAGGTCCCCAGGGAGAGGATGGTCAACCAGGTCCACCTGGTCCAGCTGGTTCAAGAGTATGTAAAACTCTCCAAATTCATTTGATAATATAAACTTGTGATGATAATACAATCTGAAATAATATTAAATTCTTCCGTTTTTTTGTACATTTATATATATAAATCATTAATGCGTTGTAGGGTCAACAAGGTAATCGTGGTCAACCAGGTCAAGCAGGATCTCCCGGACAACCAGGTTCCATTGGACCCCCTGGTCCCCGTGGTCCCGAGGGTAGCGACGGGCGCAATGGGCCACCAGGACCTCCAGGTCCACCAGGTCCCCCAGGTCCTCCAGGTGGTGATGCTGGATGGGGTGGAAACATTTGGTCAAGACCAGGACCAAAAGGACCCGACCCACTTTTGGTATGTCTTCACTTGTATGTTTCTCCTCTCCACCATGCTGAAATTGATAAACTTAATAAAAACCATACAAGTTTGAATATATAAGCGCAAATGCCAAAGGGAACGGACCAAAAACTGTAAAGAAAGCTAGTAAAACTGGGGCGTTATTTGATGATTTATTTATAGGGTGACGAAGCACCAAAGGATGTCTTTGAAGCCATGAATCGTCTTGAAAAGGCCATTGAAACAATTAGGAAACCCGATGGTACACAAAAAGCTCCAGCAAGAACCTGCAAAGATCTCGCCAACTCCAATCCCGAATTTGAAGATGGTAAGTATTACTAACCAATTATGTCCAAATGTAGTGCCTATCATCATGTTCATTGATGATATTCCAATGCATGTAATTGTCCTCTAAGTTGGATTTGATATGTTTTCATCATATATATTCTGTTGATTGTAGGTATGTACTGGATTGATCCTAACCAGGGCAGCATTGCTGATGCCATCCAAGTGTGGTGTAATATTGGCGATTATGAGACTTGCATTCTGCCAAAACCAGAAGAGGTAAAAACTTTGCTACATTAAAATGAATATTTCATCATTTATTTTAATACTTTTGTCTTGTAATATATTCGCGATTCATTTTACTCCTAGCAACACTAGTAGATGGGTTAACTACATTTGGACTTCATTGTATGATGCAAATGTCCCATTTGGCATGGAAGTTCCTTTGTGCAATAGAAATAAATTTATCCAAAGACACAAGCTAGATGGCGCTTTATATTGGAAATATACACATTTTTTAAAATGGCCGCCAAAAATTCATCAGAGACAATATATTTGATTCTGTGCATGCTACAAGTATAAGATTGGTGTCAAAAAATACAGCAATGTAGTCGTAGAATCTATTTTATTAGATCTTGAGTCTTGAAAATTAAGAACTTCCACTTTATATTCAAAATATATGCATTTTTCAAAATGGCTGCCAGAAATATAACAAAAAAGATATCTTCGCTTCTAAGCATGCTACAATGATAAGAGTGGTGTCTAAGTATACATTAATATTGGGTTGTAGAATCCATTTAAATAGGTCTTTCTTAATAAGACTTTTCACTTTATAGGAAATTATGTATTTTTAAAAATGGCCACCAGAAATATAACAATGATGATATCCTCACATCAGTGCATGCTACACTGATCCGATTGGTGTCAAAATTTTATATTTATGGGGTAGGAGAATCAATTTTATTAAGTCTTGTCAATCATCGGATACTTCTTCTGCAAACTATATCAACTGCGGCGTCCCTAAGGGATCCATCCTAGGTCCACTTTTATTTTTGATTTACATAAATGACTTACCCGATGATCTTTTTGGAAAGGCATTTATCTACGCTGATGAAACATCACTATATTACCCCTTCGATCCATCCGATCCTGACATGCATACTATCAATCATGATCTTAATATCATAACTAACTGGTCTAAAAAATAGAAAGACAGAGGAAGTTATCTTTCAAAGCCAGCGCTGTGTATTTGCTACTCCGCCACCTTTAGCCAAACTTGGAAATGGGGAAATTAAAAGGAATAATCTTCATAAGCATCTAGGGTATACTTTTGATTATCTTCTTTCTAACAAAAATCATATATATGACATTGTCAAGAGAGTACAAAAACTGCTTAATCCATTGAAGGCACTTACATCAAAAATTAACTCGAAACATTTGGAGACAATGTACAACTCATTCATAAGGCCTCATTTTGATTACGCAGACATTCTTTATCATTCATCAACTCAAGTACTGATCAATATCCCTAGCAATTTACATTATCAGGCTGCATTATTGTGTTCTGGGTGTCTCCATGGCTCTGATACAGGTAAAGTTATGGGGGTCTTAAACTGGTGCACACTATCCCAAAGGAGGGAACAACACATTCTTAACTTCATGTACAAAGTAATCAGAAACCAGGTACCTTCCTATGTATCTTCAATATTTGAAGAATTCAAAAATCCAGCTACCAGAAGAACAAGCAATACAGAGGTATACCAAATTCCTATAAGGTCAACTGCCCAATTTATTAAATCCCCTATTCCTAATGCAATATCACTGTGAAACAAATTACCTTAACCTCTTTTAGAGTATGCCTTAAAATTTTCCCTACGATCATTCAAAAAAGAAAGTAATAAACACTATCTGCCCAAGAGAATAATGAGTTCAACGTCCCTGATTAATTTAACAGGGTCTCAAGAAATCACTCTCAACTGAGCTCGTGTTGACTTATTTTTGAAAGCAAGACTTTTTGCACACCAATTTACATTTATAGACTCGGCTCATTGTTCTTGCGGCAAACCTGAAACACTAAAACATCTATTTTTCAAGTGTCCTCTATGCCAAATTAATAGGCATGCCCTGATGGAAGAGGTCAACAAAATCATTTTTATAATAAGATCAGCCAACTAACAAACATGGATGATAAACTTAATTTTCATTTATATGGTGACGAGACATTATCCTTAGCAGAACTAAGTAGACTTCTTATCATCGTCAGCAATTTTCTCCATGACAACAAGACATAGCAAAGAGGTCTCATCTAAGCCCTGGAGAACTCATAATATATATCTTGTTTTTTACACATCTACTTGGCACAAACCGCTCTGGTCCCTGGGATACCCTTCATGCACAGTCGTCCTCAAACAACTAAATACTATTCTTAATTTTTTACATGTAAGTGATGGCCAACCTATAATGCCAATATGGCGATTGGTGGCCGAAAATGTATTGACTTTACTTCAATAAAGTTTATACTATAAAAAAATTATAGTTTTCACTTTATATTGGAAATATATGCAGCTGAAAATATAACAAAGATTGTATATTTGCTAACAAAGATTGTACCTTTGCTAACAAAGATTGTATCTTTGCTAATAAAGATTGTATCTTTGCTTACAAAAATTGTATATTTGCTAAAAGTTTCTTTACTTCTGGGCATAATATTTCATAAAATTGGCTTCAAAATCTACATTTTTTTGGGAATGTAAAATCTATTTAATTACTCAGATGCAAGTAGGTAGTTACCATTTTCCCCACCAGGTGGATAATTTGGGTGAAATAACGTTGCAGGGTATTACAAAGTTCCCTTAAACTTGAATATTCTTAATTTTTAGTGGTTCGCATTTCATATTACTCTTTTGTATCTGATAGTTGTACAAATTAAAATATCTCCAGTTAAAGAAAATATTATCTGCACAACAAAAGATATTTCACTTTTTGTGTTTTATAACATGGACTATGGGGAATCTCCCTGACCTAAATTTCACATTTTCGAAGAAAATTCTATTTTAAAGTTGATGGACTCATTTCAAAACCACATTTCTTGATGTATTTTTTCATGACGATTCCAAATTCAACATCAGTTAAGTTAGACTGAATTTTGAATTTTAATGACAAAAATTGTTACTACTCGCATCTAGCAAATTGGATTATGAGTCTTAAAAATAATAGTTTTCGCCTTAACACAGCAAATGTGTATTTATCTTTCACATGTTCTTTTTACTCAAATTCACCAGAAAGACCAGTGTCTCTTTAAAAACTTGCAATAAACATGTATCTGCAATGATAGTGCAACTTTAGTTGTTGCAATGCAACATACATAAGAAAGAAATGTGATAGATACATGTAGAAACCACGCAGGACAGACATACATATGTACCTACATAGTTAGAAAGGGCCAGAAACCTTCTGGCGAGAGAAAATCTTGAAGATCGGAATAGATTTCAAGGGCTGCATATTATGACAGTATTGCAGAACCCTCTTCATCTCCTCTGACCAAATCATGGACGATGTCTCTGTTTACCGAGTCTTCCACTAATCCAACCAACAAACTTTTAAGCTTGTTGTTGATTGGCAACCATTTTGAAAAATACATGTATGTATACACATACAGCACTGAATATTGTCATATTGGGAAAAATATTCTTATTTTCTCATTTGAACAATTAAGAGATTGAGATTTTAAGATTTTAAACGGTAATATGCCTCACCATGAGTACTTCCTGGCCATAGTTTCCGTCATCGCAAATTGATATTCAAAATTACACTTTCAAACTATTCTACTTTTGAAGAAGTTTAAGAGCCCTTGTTAGATATACTTTTTTGTAATATTTTCCACACCATTGAAAAAAAGGCGTTATTTTCAATAAAAAGTGAAAATGTTTGTTAACTAATAGACATACAGTACAATATCAGAATTTCCGCTGATTTAAACATTTTGGTGACCATTTAGTCAATGAATGCTAAAAATTATATTTAGACAATAAAAAAAATTGAGATCTAACTTAATATAATGTAGCCATACCTTGACGACATATCTAGTAAGTAATAGCTAATCAACTCCTTCTCTGGGACATTTCGAATTTTCTGAGGCATTAATCATAAAATTAACACAATCTTCAATTTAATTGAGTACATATGGCCGGCCATACTTTGAAGGAATCTGACAATAATTGCAAAATCATACATTCTGTAAGACAGACGAAGAACTGACAGACTGGCGGACGGAGGGCTTCACTATATTCCCACTGAACTTTCTTCGTTGGGAAAATAAAGACTATAAACCTTATTAAATGAGTTCTACCACCCATTAATGTATACTTGGACATCAATCTTACTATTGTAGCATGCATACACGTGAAGATATCATCTTTGTTACATCTCTGGCAGTCATTTTGAAAAAGGCATAATTTTTTGATATAAAGAGGAAGTTCCTAATTTTCAAGACTCAAACCCATACTAAATTTATTCTTCACCCACAAATGTATATTTAGGCACCAATCGTATCATTATAGTATGCATAGAAGAAAATATATTGTCTCCGTTGTATTTTTGGTGGCCATGTTGAAAAATTTGAATATTTCCAATATAAAGCACCATCTGGCGTGTGTCTTTGGATAAATTTGATTCTATGGTCCTAAGGTACTCTCGCGTCAAAGGAAACATTTGCATCATAGATTGAAGTCAAGACCCCCTAAAATGCAGTTAACCCATCTACTACACCGGAACTTATATTGATACATTCTATGTTCAGTTGCGAAAGACCCGATTATAACTTATAGCTAAATTTATGACTTTTCCATTCATGAAACGGGTACTTTTGGTATTTTTCTAATATTCCAATCATATTAAGTATTCTTATTTAAAAGGTATTGAATTTTTATTGGCCTTTTAGTTTATTATGGTCATTTTTCATAGTCGTTTTCAAACAATGGCAATTGTTCTTTCTCAGGTACACCGTGGAACATGGTACGAAGGTCCAAGCCGACATGTTTGGTTCGGAGAAGAGATGAACGATGGATTTACAGTAAGTTCGATCTTTCGGCAACGATATAAAGTATATGTCATTTAAACAAAATTGAATAACTTTAAAAGAATACACAGCTATAGAGACACTTCTATAAAGGAGTCATCTAAATGTCTCACTAAATCAAAATTTTATTCATCGTAAGTACAAATATGATATTTGAAGTAAAGCCTTGTAGTGCTACTTTGACAAACCACCAATGATGCAAACAATCCTCAAGTCAGTTATTTTGTTTTTTCAGTTCTCTTATAAAACAGACAGGGTCCAACTGACCTTCCTGCAAATTCTCAGTGAAACTGCCTACCAGAATATCACATACGTATGTAAGAACTCAGTTGCCTACCTTGATGCTTCCACTGGAGAGTATGACAAATCACTTAAGCTTATGACATATAACGATCTAGAGTTGGTCGGAACAGAACCCGTCAAATTCAGATACAGTGTAAAGGAGGATGAATGCCAGGTAAGACTACACGCACATGAAATTACAAATGATATGAACGATAATGCTGCCAAAGAATAACCAAGCGTTGCTAGCCAAGCCACAAACAAATGTCTCAAATAATTTTCATACATTACAGAGGTACAGGTGCCATAGAGAAATAAAATATGCATGTTTTTATGATTTCAGTACAAGAAGAATAGCTGGGGTAAAACAGTATTTGAGATATCAACTAGTAAAACTCAAAGACTTCCAATCACCGATGTTGCTCCATTTGACATCGGACAGGCCGACCAAGCATTCGGACTTGTACTTGGCCCAGTTTGCTTCTCATGAAGAAATAACTAGGTCATTCTCAAACATTCATCTCATACAAAAGTTGCTTCTTAGATATATAGGCAACAAACATTTTACCATGAGAAACACGAAAGCATTTAAAAATGTGCATTTATAGGTTCCTATCTATGTAAATATTTGCTCACTGCTACGTAGAGTTATATTTTCAGTTTTGTGTAGGCTAGAATCAAGCCATAGTTTTGACATATAGAGTATTGGCGTCCTTATAATGGACACAGAGGAGCAAATATGTACACGGTTAGGGTAGAATTAAAACAATTTAAAACGACCAACCAGCTAGGAGAGGAGACTCCTTTCACTTGCAGGATGACGTTCTCCTACCTTACCAAGAAATGTAGGAGATTGAACCCCTGTATATGTGGCTATCATCCCGACCCCACACAGGAGGTCGGTTGATGTCCAACAGGCAAAGCCATGAGGGGGTTTCCTCCCTGGTTTAAAAATCGTCGACAACCAGTCGAACTTAAAGCACTTGTGATAATCTAGCTCAAACTGCCCTATTAGATATTATTTTGTATTTGATGTATTTTATCGTTTTTCTGATTTCAAATTGGTGCTGAAGATGTAATGAGTTTATACAAAATGATTTGAATCTTACTATTTACTTACAACCATGATGTATCATGCAATTAGAGACAGGACAAACATTCAAAAACAGTGTATTGAAAATACTTTCTCATATAGTCAAACGACAATCCCAAGGATATTCTTCTAATTGATGCAACGCTCAATTCATTCATTTGCTTTATTCTTAAGAATGGGCCCTACAATGAATATAATAAAATAGGTATGTTGACAACTCTTTATCCAGCAGTTCCCCTGATGAATCTTCATCTTGACCTCCAAACAGTAAGTCTTGTTCTCTATTGCTTGAACCATGGAAATGTATTACTGTATGTAGTTGCAAACAAATAAACATATGGTAAATACCAAGTTTGAATTGTCTGTTAATCACTGTACCATTGACGTTTCAACATACAGAATTCAAATACTATATACGTACATAAAGAACATCGGTGCTCTTGTTGAGATCACTCAATCTGTCATTTTCTTATGTAACGTCTGATGGGATCAAGGTTTTCAATGTAGATTTGCGCATATATACACGTAATGTTTCCTATTTTGTTTTGGCATCATATTTTTATGTCTCCACCAATTAGCCTTCACCTTTGTGTGATCAGAGTCCTTAAAACATATGACAATTTAATTGAAATGTGGCTTTAACCAAGGTGTGATCAGCAGGCATAAAGTTCATAACGCCAAAATTATTCTGTAACATTATTCTGTAATGAAATTCCATATTTTGTAGATTCCTGATTCAATCCACCTTTTACATGAATCCAATCCACTCAACCAATCCATATTTTAATGTTTACCAATGCCAATAAAAATGTTACAAGTGATTCAAGTTTTGGGCAATATATGTTACCATGTCAACAGATTATGGGACTTGAAACACTTCTCACATTTGCAATTCAGATGACTTGAAAGTCATACTTTGAACAATGAACACTAAAGACATCTCCCGATTTTAGGCGAAATTGCTTACCATAGCAATGAATAAAGGAGCTTAGACAGGTTGCAACCATCTTAGAATACCTTGTTTTAGATGTTTAATGTATTATTCGATTTTACTCTGGCACAACCATGACTCCATAAAAGGAAAACAATATATTTGATGTAAGAGCGACAAAACTTTTGAAGGACATTCCTCACAAGCATGTTGATGTCCAGCTTGATATGGTTGCTATATAAAGAATCATAAACTAAATATGATAAATATTTAAACCGAATAACCATTAAAATGTATTCAATTCAACTGTGTTGCCACCTTGAAATATACACAGAATGGAGTTATGTCATCGATTCTTACATATAACAGTTTAGTGAAAAACTCAAAACAGCTAATGAAATTCGTGTATGGCCACAAAAAAATGTATTCTGTATACTTTGATAAGCATTGGGTGCTCTTTGATGAGACATTTCCGTTATAACAACCGATGACACAACTTTTCAAAGTTGCCATTTCGCCTTTCAAAGATCTCCACGTCACATTAGAGGTAATATGAAACATGCATATAATCAAACATGCTATTTTAGTATTAATTTTTCTGAATAAACTTGTGTACAAGCTATCCCAGAAAAGAATGAATAAGTTTCTCTTGAAGAAAGATGCTTTTATTAAAATATTCAATATCATTTTTGATCAAATAATTTATTAAATTTCTATTTGAAAGTCATTCAGAATCCGTGTCAGATTCTGTTTTTGATCTTGTAGAAACGCACAGATTCCTTCTGAGGAACGACCTAATTGCGTTCCGCTTGGTTTTTTCCTCAAGTGACACTTTTTCGGTTATCTCGACTGTTTCTGTTCCCCCAATTTGGCCGCCTTGTGCTTCCATGTCGGCAATATCATTTTCACTGTTGGCATACCTATCTGCATAAGTGTCAATATAAGTATCAGTTTCGTACGCATCGTCAATGTTATGAAAATTCTCAACCTCGGAGTCGTTTTCATTATCTTCGTCGTCTTCATTATTCTCTTTATCATCGTCTTCGTCATCGTCTTCATTATTCTCTTCATCATGGCCTTTGTCATCGTCTTCATTATTCGCTTCATCATCGTCTTCGTCATCGTCTTCATTATTCTCTTCATCATCGTTTTCGTCATCGTCTTCATTATTCTCTTCATCATCGTATTCGTCATCGTCTTCATTATTCATTTTATCATCATCTTCGTCATCGTCTTCAATATTCTCTTCATCATCGTATTCGTCATCGTCTTCATTATTCGCTTCATCATCGTCTTCGTCGTCGTCTTCATTTATCTCTTCATCATCGTCTTCGTCATCGTCTTCATTATTTTTGTCATCATCGTCTTCGTCATCGTCTTCATTATTCTCTTCATCATCGTATTCGTCATCGTATTCATTATTCATTTTATCATCGTTTTCGTCATCGTCTTCATTATTCTCTTCATCATCGTCTTCGTCATCGTTTTCATTATTCTCTTCATTGTTGTTAAGGTTCATCCTGAGTTTAATATAGATAAGTCGTGTCACTGCGTATTTACAGAAGGATTTGTAGATTTTATCGAAATCTGTCAAATTTGGGCGATACTTTAATTCCAGCTGTAAAAATACATTGTGCTATATGTATTTTGCATACAACGATCACATTTTCAATTTTCTGAAAAGTGCTGGTCATTTTAAAAGCAATAAAACGTACTTTGACTATTCGTATTTACGATTATTTGATTAACAATTCAACCTGAACGTACAACTTTGTTCCGGAAGTGCGAGATGAAGGCATCTATTGTGACACCATCACAATATGTAGCAGAATGTTCGTTTGTATTCATATCTAGGGATGATGGTCTTCCCCAATTTCTAGGCACTACCAAAGTACCGCCGGAAACAAACATTTTGTATATGTCGTTATGGTTGGAGGGAATGGTCGCAGTGCTGGATGGTTCGGACTCATGCCTTCTTTTAAAAGCTCTATTAAAAATTGCATAAGAAGTATTACCAGATCGTCTTGCAATGTCCGATTGGGTCGTAGAAATAGCGCCATGTCCCATGTATCTACGGAACAAACTAGATAAATTTGCCCGATGATTTGCCACGTCTCTTGATGTTTCGGGGCTATACGTTCCTTCTCTGCGATTTCCGTAGCTTTGTGGAGCTCGATATGGAACATTCGTAAATCTTGATACGTCAATTGCGTCTATATTCAACTCTGCTGATCCGGCTGACGAGTCTTCTACCTCTTCGCTTGATATAGAAGTGGTATCTTCATTATCATAATGAGGCAAATTGTAGTTAAACTCGCCCTCTTCAATTGGCATTGAGGGGGTATCTTCATTATCATAATGAGGCAAATTGTAGTTTAACTCGGAGGCTGAAAATGTGGCGCCTCGTCCTCTTGGGTTGTACTCTTCGGATTGGTCTGGAAAATTGTAAATACCTAAATTCAAGGTCCATTTTCTCAAATTGAATCTTTTGATCGTTAAAGCTCTTAAACACATTCTTTTTTCACTTATAAAAATCGATATTGGATTATTTTAAAAACGAGTAACGTTTTCATAAAATTTCCTTCGAAAATCTGCATCTTTGTTATGCCTTCTTCCCTTTTATAAAGATCACTTCTAGCATTTTACACTATGTATAGTTTGCCAGACTATGTCTTGAAAGACTGTAATAATCTCGGCCGTAACAACAGTTTCCTCCCAGCCCTTGATGATTTCAAGGCAACAAGTTGATACCTTCTACTACCCAGATCACATTATCTACAGGCCCGTAGCCGGGGGAGTTCGAGACCCCCCCCCCCCCTCCCCCTGGCCAAAATTCTTTCAAAATCATGCAGTTTTTCACCATTTTGAGCACTTTTTATGTGATTTTGGTCAATTTTGGCCAAAGTTCTCAGAAGTGAACCTGGAATTTTTAAAAAGTGACCGGGTGTCACTTTGCCCTTGGCAAATCCTGGCTAGGGGTCTGATCTAGAAAAGGTGAACACAGGGCAACCCCGACCCAAAAATGACGATGATGATGCTGATGATACGATAAGTAAGAAAATCCATAACAAAGTTGAATTTTTGAAAATCTGATGTCAATGTGATAAACAGGTATACTAGATAGTACTAAGCTGTACCTATCTCAAGTTATCTAGATTATTGTTAACAAATATTAAAGACGTACCATTCATTTTCCAACATCTATTTTGAAGTAACCAGATTTCTTTTTATGGACGACTATGTTATGTTTACTAACAGTGTCATGGAATCCAACGAAATACCAATACCTTGAGTGTGGCGTCATTGAATTGAATTGCCATGGTGTTATTTGCCATGGTGTTATTTTTAGAAACATTCTATTGTACTTTTGCAGAAGTGAAATAAATTGCACATCATTTTCACACCCCATTCTCTTATCGTCGTAGCACTGGAAGTTTACGACGTTATACCAAGTATTTTTGGCGGGAGATTTGTAAGTACTCATTCATTTCATGGTCCTTTCCCTTTCGTAGAAACATTGACCATACCATGCTGATATACCTCTAGTATCACTACGTCTCTACATTTTGTCTGAACACGATCTAGAACTTCTCAAACCATCTAGAAAGCACGACAATTTCTTGAAAACATATGATAATTTTTCACGAAAATAATCATAGTTTCTAAAATTATAGCCTTATCATCTTGAAATATTGATAAAATTAAAAATACAATTTTTACGTATCATCCAGACACTTCAGTTTCCCAAATTAATAAAAGAATTCCTAGATATTAAATTTTCTTTGAATATATACAACGTTCGAAGAATTAAATATCTACACTGAAATGACATATACTACCTTCTTCACGTTGTATACTTTCAAAGAAAAAAAGATAATCTTTCAAAAAATTGTCCTGGTTTCTAGAAGGTTTGAGAGGTATATGTTTTTAAACAGAACTGACCCCAGGATCTAACAAATAAATGCTGGACTGTTAGCATTGTGAAAGGCTGCGCTCAACACCTGCATGGTATGGTCAATGTTTCTAGAAATGGAGAGCCAAATTCTCTCAAAACGTCTAAATAAATGATTACTTACAAATCTCCCGCTGAAAATACTTGTATAACGGCTACCTGGACAGTGTATGCAACATGATCTTAATGGTATGAAACTACTTTTTGCATTATCTCTGCTGAAACTAGAACTAAATATTGTTGAAATTACTGACAGCCAATCCTGATGATCACCACCCTGCTAGGCCTGCTCTAAGGGTATTAGCACTAGTTAAGAAGGCTCATATTTTACTATCAATAGTGGAGGGTCTTGTGCAGTTGTGCCAAGACCATCACAGAAGCTGACTTGGCACTAGATAAGGTGGGCCATATTGGACATTAGGGAGGTTAAGATTAGCGTAAAAATATACGTGTACCTATCCCTATCCGTATGTTTGTTACGGATACGTTTAGGTAATGCGTATTGCAAAATGAGTTTAAGATTAACGTAAAAGGCTACGAAACCGTATGCTACAATTTATGATAAAATTAACTCCTAATCATAGAATAAAAACCATGCGATGGCTTATATGGCATATACCAGTACATCTCACCTCCAAGAACTGTTATATACTTCAGAGAGTGTGTGGTGTAGCTACTGTAGTTGGGAGGGGGTGATGCTTGAGGGTCCGCTAACCCCCCTATCACACCAAACTAGTTCTTACCCGTTCTTGCCAGTCCTACGAAAACGTCGTAAAACGGGCTCAATCTGACTGTGGTCGGGAAATATGTCTGAAATAATTAGCTTCTTCGTTCTTAAACAGTCTTCAATACGTCCATCTCGTTCGCAGTTCGTTCAGGTCGCACCACGTCGGTGTGCAACGTACTAGAACGCGTCCCTTAGTCTAGAAGGTCAACATGACCTGATAACAGAACGGCATGGTCGCCATCGAATTTTGAATCGATTCAAAATTCTAAAATCACATTCCCGTCTGAGAACGTTCATAAAGTTCGTGAATAGACCTTAGAAAGTTGCAGCTACGTTCATTCCGTTCGCACACAGTTTAAAACCAGTTTTGGAGAACGCAGTGGCAACTTGTTTGGTGTGATAGCTATATTTTTGCTAACTCGTTCATAAGCAGTGTTAAATACGTTCTTAATCAGTTTAAACCCGTTTGCAATTAGTTCTACCTCGTTCTAAACACGTCCTCAGACAGTTCAACTCGTTGTTAAAACGTCCCTAGTAGGATTGAAGTACGACGGTTCCGTTCATTGTACGTCCAGCTCGTCGTTAGTACGTTTTCACTCGTTCTAATTGTAGAACGTGACGACCACGAGAACATTTTTAGCATTGTCTGAGTTCTAGAGGACCTACCGGTTCGAGTACGTTCGATGAAGTTTGTAAATAGATCCCAAACGGTTCTTAGTAGGTCCAGTCCGTTCGTACACAGTTGAAGCCCGTTTTCGAGAACGTAGTGAGAACTAGTTTGGTGTGATAGTAGGGTAATGGGGCAGTGACTTAAGCCGAAATGTTAAATTTCTAGCATGATCTAGCAATGAGAGTGGCCAAATAGTAAAGTTAGACAATTAAAACCACGATATAATGGCTGATTTCATACATTTACAATAAGCAAAACTGATGAAGGATTTGTAAATTCAACAATTTCATGCATCATCACATGGCATCGTTTATCGCATCAATGAATGTGTTCGACCACTTAATTTTTATGCAGATCGAATGAGAAATGTTTGGTGTTACTATTTTAAAGTTTAATGGATGATATTTGATGTAGAAATGACACAATTTGTTTGATTAGATAAAAACATACGTTTTCGAATTACCTATCCTTGGCCATTTTTAGGTAATTACGTATCGTAAACCCTGTAACTTAGGTAAAATACCGCTTAGTGTAATAACAAACTACGTATAGGTACCTGTACATGTATAGGTAAATGGGTTATTTACGCTAATCTTAAACTCCCTATTATCAGAGTTTGTACTTAGTTTTTAACAGTTGGTGATAATAGTAATAACCTCATTTCAGCGGGCAACATAGTGAAATCGATATGTTGCCCTTTGAAATGAGGCTATTGCTATATCGATTATACAATATCATATCGGAAATACAAAATAAGACAAGAATATATTTTAAATCATCACAATATTTTTATTCGGAAATCCATGATTTAAGAAAAAATAAATTCAATTCTACAAAATATACAAATGGGTTTTGTAGATTTACACATTGTTACTTTACATTATATTCTTGATAAGATTAATTTGTAAATCATTGAATACAAAAATGGTATTGCAATATGACAAAATAAAAGAATGTCTCCCAAATCACTCATTTTTATGGCTAAAACATCTAAACCAGAATACTGCTCCATGTTAATCGTTTCATATGTTACAATTATCAGTCTAACATAAGGTTGCCATTTCCAAATATATTTTGAGGATCCACATATTCCTTGACCGCCTTCATCATTCCAACCCCAAGCTCTGATACTGATTCCTTCAGATAGCGTTTTCGGATTTTACCAACTGAAAAAAGTAAGTAAATTAATTTAGCACAGAGGCTCATGAGTCAAATTCCTGAGATCATATCTGTTTATTGAGAGAGTGGCTAATAAGCCAAGGCTTTACTATGGCCATGGTCTATTTGTCTCTCATCTAATCAGATTGTGGCATAGCCATTCTCTAATTCTCCATAGATGAACGACCGTTGATTATATTTTGGTGACAAGTATTTTTTGACACTTGAGAAAAATAGAAATTTTGCCTTGCAACATCAGTTTTGTGAAAATATGGCTTTTTTCATGCTTCAACTAGAGATAACTTTTGAACAAACTGACAAATAGTCCAATTTGTTTAAAATATTTAGCATTTATTCATTACATCATCTATGTGAGATGGTAGAAATATGAAATTGATAGATTGTTTACTCTTAGAGATTTCCTTTCGTAAGATATCTGACAAAAACGTACAGAATACTCGTACTTAACTGTGATATGGTTGTATGCAATCTGCACCCAGAAATCAACATTGGGATATGCTTACATAGCAACAATTAACTATTCTTACCTCCATGGTGATGGGATATGCTGCCTCCACTTGCCAGGATCTCATCACGTGCTGCATTCTAAATTACAAAGAATAATAATAATCATGAATAAAACTATCAGATTTATTGTTCAACTTAGTTAATGTTCTCTGATTGATCTTTAGATATGTCACATTAATCAAGCAAGAACATTTCTCTTGATTTTTTCCATTGTTTTATATTTTTAATTTGTATACAATTTTGAGGTGTCAACAAAAACATGTGTCTGTTGGGACTAGGTCAATACTTATCAAATCTAATACTTCCCATGAAATCTTCATCATGGCCACATATGTTTTTCGTATTTCCCCATACCTCCTGCATTTAGGCTTTGTCCACTTTATAACTTTTCAGTATATACTAAATGTACCATACTTAGCCCAACACTAAACTCATGTATCTTATTCTTGACTAAAAAGGTTTCAATTCACCTCCATCTCTTCATATAGTTGTACTGGGTTGGGGATGCCCCTGTAGTTGTAGGCAAAGTAGAAGTAGACACATGCTCCTGCGTCGTATGTCTGTGTCACACGACAAGTTGTATATGCTGGAAATTGGATACCCTTTTCCTTAACTGCACGCCCAAGTCTATCTTTGACATTCCTGCATAGATCAAGCACCCTGAAAATAAAAGCAATTATTGAATTTCTTTTTCATTTCTACATGTGGATCAAGTGAATGCAATGCCTTTAAATCACAATGAGACTGATGAATATTAACTGCATGCAAAATATGCACTCCATGTAAATACAACTGTTACGTTACAAAAGGCTAATATCTAAAACAACCTTAGCCCAGTATTCAGTGAACAACATGAGAGAAGTCCTGTGACGAGCCTTTGATTGATCCATTTCTGTTCAAACCAAACAATGGGATCATTCACAAATGAGTAGTTATTCTTAAAATTACCTGTCCCAGGGTACTGATGTTTCAAATGATTCTGCCACTATGTAGTAGTCAAAGCCTAAATCCTACAAAACAACATTATGTACTACATCATATCATGCTTATATTTTAATAAACAAGGTAGGTGTATACTGTATAGAGGCATAAACTCTCAGCAGGAATGTGGTTTCATATCATCTTGTCCAAATGACATAATAGATATATGAAAAGAATGTGTTTTACATTATTTGAGAAAATCGATGACATGGCACAAAAGAAAGGATTGGAGTCTTAAAAAAACAGATAATCAAAATAACCAGTCATAAATATCCTCTTCTATTAAACCACATTATACATTCAACCACTTGATTTGATTGTTTATTAGACTGAACATTAACACGGGTTTTTCACCTACCCTAATATATGCAATAACAAAAGTCATCATGTATCCTCTCTGGCCATTGTCTTCCCCTCCTGGTATACCTCTGAAATAATTGACATTACTTGAAAAAAGCAGTGTCTTCAAAATACTTCAAATAGAATGCCATTTCCTCTCTCTATCATGTCTAATATTATTTTAATATGAAAGACTGAAAACATGTGCATAGATTCACCCAATGCATATCCCCAAATACAAGTTAATAGCTGTTCATTTCAGCTTACCACTACCAGATAAAGCAATACATCCACACTTGGAACAATGCAGATTCCATTAGTTAATAATGACTATCATGATAAAAGGAGACAAACCTTTGAAATCAAAATCAAAATCATATCATTTTTTATTTCTCAAATGTTAACATTGAGATAGGCAGCACTGTTCAACACTTACCCGAACTTTGAAGCCACTTCATAAACTCTCTTCTCTTGAGCTGCAACTTCCTTGAATAAATAAAAAAGCAAATTAATAAAGAACTGCCTTGGAGGATTTAAAGATATTTGGTAACAGCTAATTTGATGATGTCTAGCCAAGTGAATATACGACATTTTGCTACATACATTGTAAATGTGCCATTTTATTAATAAATGCATGAATATACCATTATACTGTTAAACAGTGTATTTCTTCAGATATCTTGATGGATCAGGATGTGAGTATTCATTTCAAGACAAGAGTACTTTTTTACTTAATTCTCCTTATATAATAAACTAAATCTTCTCTAGCCTATTGGGATAAAATGGGAAAATGTAGGTTCTCAATAACAAGGTAGTAACATGCAAATGCCGAACTCCAAATGCTGGTCTCCGGTGCCAAACACTTTCAACAAGAAAGTTGGAGATTATAACAATATGACATAAATTTTACCTGGGCTGTTCCTTCAAACAAGAGTGTAGCGACTGCCATATTCTTGACATCAAAGCCTTTGATTTTTGTGATGTATATTTTCTTCAAGCCATCAACAAATGCTGTTAGCATACTCTTCACTTCTGGCTTTAAGGCATGACCTATATTGTATAAAATACTGTTGAGTTGTTCAATTTTGCATTGTCTACTCATATTTCAGTGGTCAAATGTGGAAAATGACCTTCAGAGTTTACAACTCCATATTTGATAATTACAGAGATTAACTGTGAGATCATGTGCCAAATAGGTGAAATACAGATGAGCCTTTAATAAATGACTCATTCCTGATATCGTATCAGTTGATACATAGAGGATGTAGGAGTGATTTTTTATGAATTTATTTTTGTCCATATAGGGAATCTCTCACTTCGCTCACTCGACCAAGATCAATACTCATGAGTGCCTTTAATGCAATTTTCACATTTTTCCCAAAAAAATATCCAAATCAACAATGTTGCAATTTCCCATTGTGCAATCAATTTCTTTGTTCAATATCGAGCCAATATAGCAAAACAAATAACAACAATATCCATGCTGACTTTGACTTATTAATGTGGCTCATTTCAGACATAAACTGCTTGAACAATCAATCCCTCATTGTGAGTACAACTTACCAAACTGAAACTGTTCATTATCCATCAGCCTGATAGATGCAGGTGCACATCTTTGTCTAGCAATCTCTCTAAGGCATGCTACCCCATGTTCGAAGTTGGGGAATACTATTGAGCCATATTTCTTGCAGTCTGGGACGGGTCGAATCTTCAATGTCACTTCTGTGATGACCCCTAGCGTTCCTAAAAGAAATCATTTACTTTTTATGTACATTCAAATTTTTATGCACCATAGATATGTACTAGGGTTCTATAGAAACTGCTTTCATGTGAAACAATATGCCTGATTTGAATTTCAAAAGTGTAAACTTTACTCTTCATCCACACAAAATGTAGAAAACAATGAGATGACATTTGACCCTGTTTCTAATTATATCTTACCCTCTGAGCCCATAATAAAGTGATGTATATCAGGCCCACATGACATCCTGGGAACCTGACAGCCTTTCTCTACGACCCCCTTGGGTGTAACCATCTTGACATGTACAACAAGGTCCTCAATGTTGCCATATATGTTTTTCTTCATGCCTGACGCACGAGTGGCCACCCAGCCACCAAGGGAACTAAACTCCATGCTGTCTGGCTCATGGCCTGTACAGAAACCTTTCTCAGCTAGCTACAAATAGATGAATACATTATCATTATGAAGAAATGTGGACATGTGGCCAATGAACCAAAAGTGCCCCCCCCCACACACACTTTGAGGCACAGAGTCTATAATATTTGAATGAAAAATAAGGATGTTAATTAATAGATAATTATTACGATTATCATTATGTAATGTGGCTTTGGACTTTAAAGTCTACAGAAATCCTTAAGACTCAACCATTCGTTTGAAAATAGTTAATAGATATAAATATGGACAGATGCACAAGTGGGTGATTCTCCTTGTGGACTAAAAATCTTAGGGATAAAATTATAAAGCATTATCATTTGTTTTACTCTGTACTTACTCTTCTTTCCAGATCTTGTCCAATAATACCAGCCTCACAGTGAGCTACAAGATTCCGCTCGTCAATCCATAAAATTTTGTTCTGAAATGTTTAGAGAAGCAGAAATTAAGATGTGAAAATTTACTTTTATTAATGAGCAATATCATGCTATATGTTAACTTTGAGGGATTTTCACTGGCAGGTAAAATCCATGCATTTTTTATTTTCAGGTCACACTATGCATTAAATATTCACATTAAGATTCAACTTATTAATATAATTTCCTCCCATGTGGTTAAGATGACTTTTCAATGATAAGGATTATGCGAGTCTTAGTTAATACTATGTAAAATCTAGTCATCTGCCCATCATGGAAGCAAATAGGCATCAAATTGAGATTTTTAAAAGTTTTTTACATCCCAATTGATGATTTCCTGGGAGATCCATGACACCATATCCTCCTCTAGAAACTCCATGGAAAATATTACTATTGTACATGTACATACCATTTGAGATGTATCCAAAGAGACAATCATCCGCCGCTCTCCAGTTGGGCACTCAAGGGCTTGAGACACACTGGTTCCCCCTCCAAATGGAATGATTACTACATTGTGCTTGCTAGCTAACTCAATTAGTTGAATAACATCATTGTGTTTTCCTGAAACAAAAAGGGATTTCATTATATTTCTTATATCTAATTGCAAATTCTGTGTTTTGGTGCGTAAACAAAAAAGACTAGTGAGAAACTTACATTTAATGGAACAGTATATTCCAAGCCCAATATCATATTTTCTCGAGGAAAAAATTCATATTACATCACAACCATCAATAACGTATTCATTCCATAATCACTGTTCCACAACTTGTTACTTTGACGGAGCATCAATGTAACAAAATGGATGAACTTCCTGGTTTTCAATTTTTTGTTTTCTCAATTTAAGCCTACTTACATGACTTATAAGTCAAGTTGCAAATTGTAATTTGGCACAAAGCTAGTAAATAGTCTAGTTTTTATGAGTTTCTTTTTTCGATTTGGAATTTGTTTTGTAAATGAAGTTGCAATTCATATATTTAGCCCCTAGCTTTTGTTACATTTACGAAAGTCCGCTAGATTACCAATGTATGTTACTTTGACGACTTACGTTAATGTAACAAACTTTGACGACTTACGTTAATGTAACAAAAGCAATGGTCTAAATGCATGAATTACAGCTTTATTTTTAAAAAATTCCAAACTGAGAGCATTTCTAAAACCAAGACTATATTGTCTGACTTTGTGCCAAATGATAATCCGCAACATGACTTATATGTAAGTTTAAATCGAGAAAACAAAAAACTTGTATCCAGGAAGTTCATCCATTTTGTTACATTGACGTTCCGTCAAAGTAAATAGTTGTGGAACAGTGATAATATTTTTCTGAAACTTAAAGTGTACAGTTATTCATTTTCAAGTTTGGTTTGTCATCACCAAATGATTGTGACATAAAATGATGCAATTTGATTATTCATACAACATGTTCAATTTTTATTAACAAGTTTTAAAACAGAACGAAAATTGTAAAAATCAAAAGAAATCCCCGGAAATAGTTCTGATACAGGATTTTGGATAATATGGGATGCAATATGGGATCTGATACAAGATTTTGGCTGATAAAGGTTCTGATATGAAAGGCTTTACCATTTAATTATACAATTATGTTGTACAAGACTTTACCTTTTAATCATACAATTATATTGTACAAGACTTTCCCCTTTGATCAAACAATTACATTGTACAAGAGTTACCCTTAAATCATTCAATTATATTGTGCAAGAATTTACCCTTTAATCATACAATTATATTGTGCAAGACATTACCCTTTAATCATACGATTATATTGTGCAGGAATTTACCTGGCCACACAACTAGATCTGGTATTCTCTCAAAACAGCCCTCTCTTAATGTGAATATTTCATGCATAGTGTGACCTAAAAATACAAAATGCATGGATTTCATATACTGGAATTACATTATGCATTTTACTCTCATCAGATCTTTTGGTTATCAAGCTAATTAAGGTAATTGTTACAATAAATATGGGAATTCTACCTATTCTTTCTAAAACGGTCAAGTTATAAACTAGAATATATGTACAAGTAAAAATCAATTGTATGTTCTCTATTATTACCGTGTGCTCTAAAAAGTCTGTCATGGCAGTCATCTGAGTGGGATATACCAGAACGTTTCATGTCTTCAAGAAAGCTTTCATTTCTAATAGGGCTAGGAATATTGGCTGCTGTCAATTCAGGCTAGAAATAAAAATCAGATTAAATTTGAAATAGATTAAAACATCATAGGAATTTAATGGCTAGCATTCAAGATTGAATGTCATAGTTTATGTATATTGTTGTATTAGCATTCAAGTTTAAATGTCATGAAGTTTATATATCATTGTAGTATTATTCCTCAGTCTTCAGCTCTGACACTGAAATATCCTTCTTTTTCTATACATGTTTATTGTTTATATAAAAAATATGTAACCAGTGACAGCTAAACTTTGAATAAATAAATATGGTTAACACCTCCCACATCCTCTGAACACAGAGCTACTGGTCTTCTAGATCTCGGAGCCCTGTGGTTCGAGAATGCATGTCCCAATGTTAAATATACAGGGACATTAATTGTCCAACTAAGAGACACTGTCTTTTGACTGCATGACAAGTGCAAATTATATGAGGTACATGCACAGGGACATGCACCTTTTATAATCTCTAAAATGCAATTAATTTCACAACTTCATTTACAGAAAAATAGCCTTGTATGGAAGTCTTTCGATGTGGCATGTTGTTTATGTAGCAAATTATCATATCATATTGTTAGCCATAGCCAATGAAAAATAATTCTAAATTTAAAGTACCTGAGCAGGGGTCTTATGGTCTAAACTGATTCCTATGTTCTCTGCCATCCAATCGTTCAATGCAGGCATAACTGTTCCACTTAATTGGTACCTACAATATATGCATACAGTATATAGTAAGCATTATGTAACTGTACTACACTTGTGAATTATGGGGAATATGACGTCATAATGTTAACAAAAAACATGGTAGACGGACATTTTGAAAACGTTGATGAAAGTGATATTTTGACTTTGCTAGACGACAAGTACAGCAAAAATACAAATAGAAAAGTAAAATTAACATTAATTTTCTAGTGAGTACGAAGTGATGTGCCGAAAACAGAGAGTTTAGCTACCACTGTCTTCAGATTTTCTTATAAATTATTGCTGGCGTGGTTCGGAAAAAAGATTGTGAAATGAAGCCATGATTGATGACTGTCGTCTATATGTGTATTATACTTTCTTCTGACTAACAAAACAATTGTAGACCTCTCAATTAGGTCAACCGTCAAAATCATATACCTCGACTGTAAACCTTGAAACTACTGTTGACCTCGACCTCTGGTCTCTGTCAACAGTAGTTTCTCGGTTTACAGTCTCGGTATACAATTTTGCCGGTTGACCTTTGGAGAGGTCAACAATTGTATACAGTAAAACCTGTCTAAGTGGAACATATTTGCTACCTCTAAAAAGTGTTCCACTTTGGAGGTGTTCCACTTATAGAGGTTCATTAATATTTAATCAGGTCTTGGGACTCTGAAAAGTGTTCTATTAACAGAGGTGTTCCATTTCTAATGGTGTTACACTTAACAGGTTTCATTGTAGTTAGAATATCTAGTCTATTCATTATTTTCAAGAGTTAAAACAGAGTTGTTCACGAGAAGAGAATAATTTCAAGTAAGGGCATCATCATTTATATTCATTCCATGATTCTTATTTCCCCAGGGAATTTAGCCATGAAAAATAACAAATAATGAACTTTTGTATTTTACATACTTTTGAGTGATGTTTTACATATTGACAATAACTTACCTCTCTCCTGTGAAAGTGACTTGGTTATTCTTATTGACTGAGAATTTGGAATCCTTATAGCCCCATCCATTCCACTTCATAAGCTCATGCCTGTAAGCATTAGTACATACATGTATTTGTACAATTTAGGGTCAGAATATGGTACATGTATACCGTGCAGTACATTATGCTAACCATATATAAAGTACACATTATGTGCAGCACATAGCTAGGGGGGGGGGGGGGGGGGTGGGTAACCAGACTTGATGCGAAACTACTTAATTCCTTACACACATGTCAATATGATGAGCATATATGATTCTACCTTCTTCTAAGGCCTCCTCTATTATCCAGCCTTGCACCTGGTTTCATTTGTTTTGCATTTGTTTAATTCTCTCTCACTCTTCCCTTTAATACCACTGTGTATCTGTTTGCAGAATTTAAGTACAGATCTCAGCCTACATGAATATATGTTGCATTTCGTTGTTATTTGACAGCTTTACCAAGAGTTTTCTCCATTTTATCATTGGTGAGTTAACCAGTTTTTAATGCTCGTGGCAGACCCATTGATTATAAGTCTAAACGAAACCATACAATATGTCATATAGGATACTATTTGTTTCAATTTCAATTAATTCTTGAAGTATTCATTCTCACAAATATTGTTAAAATAATATTCAAATGAAATATTTCTTGAAACCAGACATTTTCCTTTGTACACGGCTGAAAACAACTAGATCTAGTCAAGTCATTGGCTAGAAAGGCTAGTATTTAGTATGCTTTATTTAGGTAGATGCAAACATGTACATGTATTGTGGATATCAATAAAATAAATAAATCGTGCTAGATCTATGTCGATAAGTCAAATAACAGCTGATGGACAGTCAAAAGTCAACAACATACAGATTATAGAACCTATTGCATATTGACAATAGTAAAATGTAGACCAGAGCAAAGTTTGGATAACCAAAGTACAAAGTGCACAAGTGCACATGCACCCGATTAGGCTTATCATGTTGAAAAAAATTATAAAATCAAAATATTACCTTCAATCTGTTAGATATAGAAAAAGAAGTAGCAATTATTGAGCGAATCTTTGATTAACATCGTGAAACAAATATGAATTCTCACCATACTATTGATTAGAAATCTAAATGACTTGGCGTTAATTTGACAGATCGACATTTATGCCTAATGTCAAAACTCACCTTCTTTTTGGTACAATCGGAGCTTCATCTGGAACTTGTGTTTTTGAAGAAGATTCACTCGCACAAGTTTTGCAAATTAGACCCCTTTGGTCCCGAGATGTTGTTGTATCATTACCGTGATTTTCGTTTAGTTTAGAACAGTAACAACGAAGTTCTGGCTGAAAATGTCCCCTCAAAACTTCCAAACGCGACTTAGCGGAAGCCATCATTCGATAATAATTTCATGTTGTGTACGCATGTGCGAGTTTTAATTATTGTTTAGTAGACAGGCTATGTAAACAAATGCCAGTTAAATTAATCTAGATAAAGACACATTTTTATTGATTTTATATAAAACCTTCAAAGATGGAGGTTGGAGGTTATATTTCTTGTTATATATCAAGTAATTGCACAAAACCCTATAATGGAACAAAACAAATTAGAAAAAGGCCAATTAATGCCCAAAAAGGCCCACTAATTGCAGGCGCCCTAAAAGTTTTTTGGCCCAAATTTTTCCTTTAGGTTCAGGGTCATTAAAACCATGGATAGCAAAAACTGGTAGGTGGAAACCTCTGCATGTTAATGGAACACCTTGAAAATGGAACAGATTTTTAAAGTCCATTTTTAAAGCGCATAGACTTATATCAATTGAACATGAAGTAACTTAAACACCTTATGCTCTGGAGGGATAAATTGCTATTAATAACATACACTGGATCCTTTATTACACACAGTTGCTAGCTTATCAGAATGATTCTTAGTTATTGTTAATAACATATGGCATGAGCATGTGCAAGATCAAAATTAATCTGACAATAAAAAGTAGTTCCTCACATCTGCTTGTGTTTCTGACTTCTTATGCAATAAAATATTTCTCGAATTGAAAAGTAAACCCATCCTTAGATACTGTTAGGAATAACAGAAACAAATATCAATTTCTCAATACAAATCAACATAACTACAGGGTGATCAATAAATAAGGTAAAAGTATCTGGTATTTTGTAAATATTGGTCCAAACATCCTGAAATTTGGTCAGAATACTGTATAAGTGGTATTTAATCCGAGTGGTTAATTTTCCGAATGGTCAAATTTCATCATTTTCCTAATTTTAATTTTCCTAATGACAAGAAACCTACCATTGGATAACATTATAAAGACAATATTTCCGACATTTAATTTTCCGAACCTGGCAAAAATTAGGAAATAGGCAAATTAAATGATTAGGCAAAATTACCACTTATACAGTATACTTTTTACATTTCTAAATTAAAATATTTGAATATATAACTTCTGCCATATGATTGGTTAATATTATAGTTACCATGGCAACTGGAGTCGGGGGTACCCGGGGCAATTTTATTGCATCCAATTTGAACAAAAAATAATAGAAGCATATCTTTTTCAAACTGAAAAGAAATAAATGTGGATGCCAGCATTTATTGTTTCTATAATACTTTGTTTTCATTGTTACATATTTTCTTGCAAATTTGATGTTTCATGTCACGGAAAAGATAAATATATAATGAAAACTGATGTGATCAAAGAAAGTCTTTGACACAGGTCAATGATGAAAAACAATACCCACAGAAGAGATTTGATGAGAGCAAAGAGAAAGAAGCTAAGAGGCCCGCAAAACATTTCACATTGCACTGGGATAATGCTCCATCTCACAATGCTATTCTCACGTTACAAACCATTGAAGCACTGGGTTTTCCTCTGTTAGGTCATGTACTATACTCTCCTGACTTGTCCCCTTATGATTTTACCTTCATGGTGAGCTGAAGAGGGAGTTGATGAAGTTTCTCATGGGAAGACCTGAAGTCAGCTATCTTGAAAATGTGCAGGCTATATAAAAATGGGTTTAAAAAGGTGTTCAAAGACTGGAGTAGAAGACATGAACTACAGTATATGTTAAAAACAAAGGACATTAAGTAGAGTAGTTATGAAGTATAAAATAAGAATATGATATGCCATTTCAATTGTGATTTGAAATATATTTTCAAAAGTGCTTCGACTGAAAATTTAGTTTTTGATAGTTGCCCCGGGTCTTCATGCTTTCTGTTGCTATGGCAACCATAACTTCAACCAATGACATTACTTTGATCTGTAACTTAATATATCAATTCAATAATGTTTGAACATTATTCTGTGCAAGTTTTATGAGGATTGGGTAAAATCTGAAGAAATCCCAGATACTTTTACCTTATTTATTGTCATTGATCACCCTGTACAAGTACTCGTGTGATTAAACTAAATTCAATAAGACAACTCATTTCAAGTTCTGGTGACCCTAGGTGGTACCTGTCTCTAGTCCTTATTGGAGGTGAAGTAGATGGGGTGGGTGGGGGGGGGAGACTTGATGGATGATATATGTTACAGGACCATCCCTTAATAAACACCCATTGTATAATGGATTAGAATAAATGTCAAGCAATAAATAAAATAAAAGCAAAGTAAAAGCCTTGTGGGTGGATAAATAAGAAATCTGGGGCTGAGTTGTATCCTGTATTGATAAGCATTTATTGAGGCACATTATGTTGTATCCCTTTTGAAATTGAAGCATGCATCTCAATGATTACATGAAATGAAAATAAAGTGAATGTACTATTGGCACTATCAATCACATGCTCTGCAGTTCTTATTCACATCACACCTATACCTCAATGTATATGTAACTCAGCAAGATTTTTATGTTACTATGGAAACTTGTTGAAATTATATATCAGGACAAAAGCAATTTCTCTTGTAACGTAAGCAAATTCTCTTGTAACATAATTCTTGCTAATTGACTCTGTACAAATGACAGTTATTGCAGAGTTAAGATATCCACACATTTTATCATCTAGAAAGTAAAATATCAAATGTCATAGATGAGATAAATTAAAGTTATAGTTGAGTTTATCAGACCATTCTAACCTTAGTCAATGACTGAAGGTGAAATAGAATATAAGAAAACAAATGCAAAAATATTTCTTTATACACGAGAATATATTCAATACATCAATTTTATACAAAATTAGCACAAATGTCAAAAAGGTATACAAGTAGTGGCTTCGTAGAGAATTAGAATATACAAGATAATTTGTAATTCTTATTGCACTCCATTTTATATCAATTTATAGTCCAATGAGGATTGGCCAATGAGGATGGACCAATATCAATACACACTTCATATGACCACATGTTAAAATACTTCATGATCAATAGTGACATCTATGAAGTGTGTTTTAACATGGTACATGGAGAAGTCCCCCCATGATTTTTTCTCGATTTTCTTAGATGCATACTCCTTCAAAAAATTCAAAATGTGATTGAATACAATTCATTTTGATGAGATATTTAAAGAATTACTAAAATCAATAAGATGATACATACAGGGTAACTAAAAAGCGTGTGTCAAACACCTAGCATTTAAAAACTAGCTACACCTCTAATACAGCAGAAATATGCACCTAATTTCAAAAAGTACCCGATATCATACATGGTCATTGAAATCAACTCAAATAAATAATAAATAGTACTATATAATACAATACATTGATTCACCTATCACAAAATTTTGTTTAAATCCAAACTTTGTTTGGGTTTAATCGACACAAAAAGAACTAAATGGGTCACCTACTACATGTACAAAAACAACATGTGTTAATATACATGTAGTTGTGTTACCATGGATAAAATATCATAAGTTCATGTTTTAAAAACTTAGATAAGATCAATACTGAATAGGGAGCAAGTTTACCATGTGTACATGCAGATTGTTTTTAGGGACATATTTTTATTAAATTGAGGGGATCTGACATTTTATCACAACAAGGTATAGGAGTTAGGAAATTAGCTTAACTCCAGGAATCTTCTGTCAAAGTTTTTTTCTAATAACCCATCGTTTTTTCGGAAAAAGATATTGAGATTTCCAGTGATCTAAAGGTTTGCCCCTCCCGTGTACAGTAACTATTGGATTAGATTTTAGATGTAGAATGATGGGGATAAAGTAAACATGGCCATAATGACATTTAAAGAACAATGATCGTCATAGCTACAGTTTAGCACACAGCCTCGAGAATTAGGTTACTGGCAAAAGTTATGTATGGAAGGGTTGTGTCAAGTTTGGGCTGTGTAGTAGACTGTATCATCTGAGCTTAGAGATGACTACTTCTACAATTAACTCTCAGTAAAGTGTTTAATAATCGATATACTTTCACCTTTTACAATACATTGACATCAGATACTCACCATACTGAAATACACTGACATCAGGTACTCATCCTGATATACAGTGACATCAGATACTCATATTGGAAAGGTATTGACATCACATTTAGATCATGATACAGACTAATTTGAAATGTACAACTGATTTCAATCAGACTGTATATTGATTTCAGAGTAGTAATTAATGTACTTAGTCAGGTATGAGTTGATGTCAATGGCCTGTAAACTAGTTCAATGACTCTACTAAAAAACATACTTCATATTCATGATTGATTGTTACAGTAACTCAAGATTGTTTCATTTAATTCTTGACATTTTGTGAATGTGACTAACACCATCCTGCAAAACACATGTATATTGATATCAGTTTAATTTATATCGGTTTCTTTATACAAAATTGTGTTTTAAAGTATGATATTGTTACACCAGCTAATGTGTGGGCACATGTACAGATTATGCAAGCATTCACTTTACAGTTTAAGGGATACAATTTTTCACAAATAAATAGTGAAATTGGCCCTATTCTACTAGCTACCTATAAATAATGTAAATGTATTTATATGCAGAATTGTGAACTTTTTGAAACAAGAGGCACTAAACTAAATGCCACTGTTCAAAAGGTTGCAGTAATATGCACATTCTTCAACTTTTAGTTAAATTATATTCAGAGCTAACATGTACAGTATCTAGTACACATAGGTGCACCATCAGAAGAATAACTAAAATGGCACTAATATATTTTTGAGATTTGCACCTGTACACCCATCTTGCCTTCTAAGCTAACATAAACAGGCACCCATGTAACCTTTAGGGCTCTTTATCAATTTGCTATCATTATAGCCCTATTTTTGCTTCAGACTTAAGTAGGAGCAAATTTAATAGTAACAAAAATGCTAAGACGAGATCATACCAGAGTTTAGCTACTTCTGGATAAAGGAAATGATATAAATTAACTCGTGTGTATAAGAGCTGCTACTAAGCATAAAGACGAACCTGCCAATTTCACAGTTTTCCATCTCGATCATTCACTACAGTACAGTTATAGTGCAATTTTCATGGTAAAAATTCATTTGATGAAGCAAATTACAATGTAGTGTTTTTTCATAGTCTGTACTATGCAATAAATAGATAATAAAATTATTAACAGATCTTATAATAAATTACAGGAAATACACACGTTGGCAGGGTGAGATCTAGGTACAAAATACAATAAAGCATAAAATACAATAAGACAATGAAAATGTATTAATGATTATGACGCAAAGTTGTATTCAATCTGTTTTGATGTGAAGTAACACCTTACAACTTAGTTGCAATATTATCCCATAAAGGAAGAAATGATGTGTATGATATGGAGAAAATTGTCAACATCAACATTTTTGGGATTATATCAGTTTTAAGAAATTTGATCTGATACAGGTAAAGAGTAATGTTTTTAAACATGTAAAATAGAGATGAAGTGACAACATATAAAGCATGATGCACATCAACATAAACCCAAGTCCCCCAATGAATAAATAATACATGTGAATATGAGTGTTGACAATGAAATGAAGAAAGCTATAAATATTATCTTTGGTAATTTAAAAGGCATTTAAGTATGGATGTGATCACAATATTTTCTCAAAACATTGTAAAGACATATTATAACTGTCTTTGAGATCAGATCATTGAAAGTGCAGATAGATATTTTCTAAATTATAATATACAATTATTTGGTTGTTTGCATGAGGTGCAATGCTAATTTGATATAAAGAATAAATGAGACTAAAATAATATATATCCTAGATGCCCTAATAAGACCTGATGAAGTTTGATGAATTCTTGTCAAGTTGAAGCTATCGTACGATGCAAGAAATGCATTACCTCATTACAATAAGGTCTGCAATGAAGCCTTACATATATGCACTACTTCAGACATCAACTTGAAATCACCAATCTCCATTTGGTTATCCTTTATCATGGGCAACCACTTAAATTCAGCTGTATCACCTTCAAAATGCTACATATAACATCTGCATTTGCAGCTGTAGCAAGGATAAAACACTAAAAGGTTATTATCACATTTGTCAGATCATCAAATACTACTGTATACTTGTCGAGGAAATACTGACTTTTTTGATTTTCGATGAGGACCACCAGATGACATGAAATCTTGAGATACAAATGAAAATGATCTGTTACTGCCGAAAAAAAGTTATGGTGCTTGAAACATTTCATTTTGTACAAACTTTTTGAATTTTGCCTTATAATATCCATGCAACCCTCATAAGGAGTTTAAATCAATGTTTCAATATTCATTACGACTTCACTGACCATTCAAGCTGCAGATCTAAATAAGGATAATGTTGACAATACAGTAGATTCACATGATACGAGGCATTAACATGCAAAATGTCACCACCTACCATTTGTTTCAGATGCTGAACTATGTCATGAAAAAGTTGGACACAATTCAATATGTCAACACTCATGGTGGTGACATAGGCATAACATATTAATAATAGTTTTCATATGTAGTAAAGCATATAGACAATTACAGGGATGATTCTATTACTTCACATAAAGTGAATGATAATGAACAACAAATGCCACAAAAACTACACAAATACTATAAGGCAAAATATTTGCCACTATTGCACTTTGCCATTCATTTCAATAAATTCATGCAATCAAGGTCTGATATAAAAACAGCATGTTTTTTAATCCAATGCTATTTTTCTATCTGATCTATAATTCCAGACTCAATTTGAGCATACTTTTAATGTTATACTAATTTGTGCCCTTGCCGTATCAATCATTTTTTACTGAATTATATCGCACATGTTTCTGGTAGACAATTGTACTTGTTAAAATTTTATAAATAATCCTAAAAATAATTATGTTCACTGTTATGGATTTATGAACATTAAATAATCGCCCATAATGATCACTTATCACTCGTTCAAAAGTGACTAATAAAAATTTATGCAATTTATCATGGACAAATGACTAAAATAAATATCTATGTACATGTACGATCATTACAAATAAACGTGAACAGATTTCAGGATGTGCTAGCGTATAGCACATACTGGCACCCATACATGTGGCAATCCCAATTGCTCTTCAGTCTTTCGAGACTATCTGGCTTGGTGGCATCGACTAGAGACAATGCTGTTTTTCACTCCATACTGTTTATGTCAATTTGTACCTGAATAGGCGGTGGGGGGCAGGCTTCCTAGATCACAACAACGAATCATAATATTGATTCATTACCAAGATCTAACTCACAGATTTACTCAATGAGTAAGTACAGACTCATTGAGTCAGCACTCACTCGTTAAGCATCATCATTGTGTGAGTTAGTTACTTGGAGTTGTTGTTATCCAGAAACCCCTCGCCCCAGCCTAGTCATTGGTACAGCAGATAGTTCTTGATAGAAGTAGGCAAGGGTAAATTGTGTATTTCATGGAGGCGATTTTTCCCGAGCTGCTTGCGGATCACCCGCCTACTGATGTCCATAAGAGGGAGGGGTTCAGCTGGAAAACACAGAGAGAAAGAATTACATTAAAGTGAAAACATTATGTGTATCATCTCATTGTTATTTTGTTCACTTGTTTGCTAGCATAATTTCAGATCCTAGATATGAATCTGCTGTTATTAAGATATGTTTTTATCATTAACCTTTTATGAAAAAAGTATAATTATAGGTTTATTTCTAGACCTAGTGATAATTGAATTTTGCTCTCCATGTGAGCTTATTTGCATATGAGCCAAGAACTAATAAAGAATGCATCAGACATTTTCACTAACATAAGAAATACTCTTGATTCAAAATGTGGCTTTGCATTTACAGATATCTAAATCTTTTACTCACAAGAAGTTTAGAAACGATGTTTTAACTTATGAAATTTGAACATACTATTTGTACTTTTGTAACTGTATTTGAAAAAAATAATATTGATAAAAAATTCTTAAACTTACGATCTAAGCCATTAATGTATCTCATTGTTATTTCACAATGGCCCCATACCGCACTAACTAGAGGGTAGAGTTTCTTGCCTTTGAGCCCCCTGAAGGCAATGCCCAGGAATTGTCCATCTACTATAAAGCTCATGGTGCCTTCATCCATATCAAGCACTATTCGAAATGAGTCTGGCACGACAAATGTCTCATCAGGATTCAACAATGTTGGATAAGTTCTTCCTGGGGTTGTTTGCACGTCATGATATAACTTATTGCGGCCGAGGTCCCAACCCCAAGATTCTTTATTACTACCAACCAAGGACTGATAGCCGACGCAATGTAAAGGAGCATCTATTGTGCCTACACCAACTACAGCATGTGTGCCTCTTTGTCTTGTACTCCAATGTACTTCCCAGACATGGAGGCCACGTGTGAAGCCATAACGGCCACGAATACAGTCTGTGCTTTGGGCAACTGGGTGCCTATGGAACGTCATCTTATCATCTTCTTTTACAAATATATTTAGAGATCTATCATCTGTGTTCCATGAATGTTGTAGTTGCACTTCCCGTGGAGCGGGAGGCATATCTAGAAGCATGTCTAATCTCGCTGGCTTCTGGAAATCTGGATTGTACGCCAGCTCTCGCTGGAGTTTATTGTTATAGTTTGGTTCACGGGAGATGGTCTTTATCCCACCTGATACTTTCTGACCCATACTCATTTGTGGTGGCATACACACGACACTAACCAATATAATAATACACACTTGGTGGTGACACAGGTAGTCTTATTGTTTTATGTTCCTGAAAGCAAAAAAAGAGATATTTATCACATGGAAATCACAAAGAAAATGGAACAAAAGTGACAAGGGGCTAACTACTGAGTGTACTGAAACTACCTGATGTTTCCATTCCAATGTGACAAAACAAAATCTAATAAAAAGAATGAGACTCATCACCATTGATTTTTTAACATTTTGTGGAAAGTGGGTTCAATCCAACTTGTATGACACTGCTCCTGGAGAACAAACCTGTATTAAAACTGTTATGTAGAATGTAGTAGAGAGATATTTACAAATGGTTAGAACTCAAGCTTATCAACGTATTTACGAGTATAATGTAATATAACTAAAACTGAAAGAAAATACAGTTCATATATTTCTATTTTCCTTTGTATAATTCCATTGTCAGATTGAACATTATTGATTAGAAGTCAGATGAATCCACATGTTTCCGAGTTATACTGGCAGAATAGTATTACTTTTTCATATTAGTCGTAATATTCCATGTTGCTATCATTGATTTTGCATCAGTTAAAATGAGACAGCTGCGTCAATAGGCGTCTTGCCACATAGCTTTTGTGGCATGACCGATATGAGTTCTCAACCTCAATTCCAACAAATATGGTTCTCACAGAATAAACTTAGTTCATAAAAAATAATTATGGTTCCAATCAAGTCTCTATAAAACTAACCTGTTCTTATAGTTGAGTTCCATTCTTCATATGTTATATAGATTCTATTTACATGTTATTGTTTGCTAACATTGAATTCAAACAAAAACATCCTTGTTTACTGAACTATAAATCCTTAGAGAAATTGGAATGGTGGCGATGTATTTCCTCCTTACATGTTAGGTGCCTTATTTATATAATGACCTCATATACATACAGTTGTATAAACTGTATACCATTGCTTCCAAATAGTCACTGTTCAGAGAACTCAACACAGATGGGGCAGACAGCTGTTTCTCCTATGATATAATTAACCAGATTGAACAAAGTGAACCAATATTGACTGCAATCAACTTATAGACATCTCTGACGGTGGCTGGCACCAAAGTGTGGACGTAGAGAAGCCATTCAATTCACTTAGTCATGAAGGAGTTAATCATTCCAGTTGGAACAAAAAAATACATATCTTTTAAACTGTATTAAAATTAGTGACTTTGAGGCATGTTTTCAATTTCAATGTGGGCACCATATAAGTGATAATAGCCCAAATTCTCTTGATAATTACACCTATGACATAAGTGATGAGGATGAGGGATCTCCTACAGAGATGTTTGAGATTGATGCAGCTAATGACACAGCTAATGACACAGCTATACAGCTGCTATATTCACAGGTAATCATATTGCATTTGCTATCATGGTTCAGGTAGAACATTACTTACCTTACCGGTCTATATTGCAATCAAGAATGAATGTCACACCTGCTACAGGTGAATGCAAATAAAAGTGACATTGTGGTGATGTCCCTATAGGGAACGACAGACTGTGTAATTATTATTAATTAACGGTTTGTATGTAACATCCTGATATTATATATTACAGAGTTATCACAGACATGGCTTTTATTAGTCTCACAGACCTCAAATGAATAATCAGGATACAGTATATTCCTGGGACAGATGAATCCTATGAAGATATAGCCATAAACATAATGTTGTATATAGGCCTATATATACATCATACTTTTCCTTAATCCTTGGAAAGATATTCCACCGTGCTCTTATCACTATGTGTAAAACTTGGCCTGATTGAACTCCAGCAAATATTTTTTGAAGCCTAATCTTTATATTATACCATGAGTCAGGACATACTCCACTTAACCTGTTTAAACTTAGAGTACCCTACTATCTAACCATGTGGCCATAATCCATTAATCCAAAAGTAATAATGCTATTAGAAATCTAGGCACATGGCACAAGCATTATACGATTAAATCCCGAAAGACGAAAGGAGTATTGGAAAGTGTGGCACCAATGTCAGACGTTATCAAATCTATGTCGGAAAATCAATGGAGAAAGTGAAAGCAAAGAAAACCGACGAATTAAGATGAACTGTTGAATGAAACAGTTGAATGCACAGTTGAATGTTATCTTATCCAATATTCTCAAGCAATTTAGATACTAACACTTTTTAGACAAGCACTGTAAGTAACTTGACTTATGGGAGATTTTTTACATTTTGGAAGGGGTAACACATGTTATCTCCCATGTAAAAATATGATGACGCAAGATAGTACACCGTGTTAGATAAAGTAAAATTGATATAACATGTACTTATTCAAGCTATAACATTGTAATGATTATCTTAAATCATGGTTTAGATAGTGTCATACTTTTTAACTAAATCAATTACTGTATTTTATTATACATATATAATAGTGCTATAATAGATAATAGATTTGAGAGCATATAAAAAGTACCACAGTAGCTTGGTCCACACAAAAAGAATTGATATAAATTACATGTTTACTAAGCATTTCATGGCTGATGATAGTTTAGTCAATGACGATACAGAACCTAAAGCAACTGAATACCATTGTGATATTCTTGTTAACAGATGGAAGGACAAAGAGTCTAGATGTTCAAGACAACACCTACCAAATGACCTAAATCACAGTCCGTCTTTCTGTCTCTACAATGAATGAATTAATCACATATAATAAATGTATATTGCTTTCCCTGGATGACCTGATCTAAGTCAGCATTAAAAGCAATTTCTATTCTGAGAAAATAATCTATTACTGATGAAATAGAATTTCAGCTTGGAGCATTTCTTTCGAGCCCACTCATCAATCTCAATGTTGTCTCAATATACAGAGTAGCATCTTATCTATATTAATGATGTGATTTATCATATAAAGTGCATGTATACACATGTATTTAACCATGAACAGAAACGTGCTTCACCAAATGTAAATATTTGTTAATATAGATTGCCGTTAATGTAACTTTTTCACTATCTTTAAAATGATATATCATCTTGACTGCACATATGCCTAGTTGAAGGTAAAGCAAAGTGTTTGATCTGTATCTAATGACCTAAGAAATCAATTATACACCCATTCATGTGTTTATAGGCATTTAAGTGTTTAATGTGTACTAAATTGATTGATTATAGATGAGATTGACTCAAATCACAACATTGTAATGATGACAATAGATGTGGGCGACATGATATAGAATGAACTGGATTAAGAGGCCACTAACCTGTAATCTTTTTCAAACAATAGAGTACAAATGTTGAGGCTATACATATTTTAAGGACATAACATGATTAACACTATCTGATATTAAGAGTATAGTAAGTACATGAGACAGGAGAACAATTACTTCCTATGTTATACTTTGTCTGATATTCTTAGTTTGATTGTTGTTTGACATTTCCTGCCTTGTTTATACTAAAAACTGATGAACTTGCTTGTCATGGATACTAATTAGATGTTTTGATCAAAAATATTCCTGATTAAATAAACATAAACATCACATTATTGATGGTTTACAATGCTCATTGCCCAGCCATTAAATATTGTTGCAAAATATATATTTATAGAATCTATGAGGATACAGAAATAAAAAGGAGTTAATAAATAAAAAAAAATTACGAAGCAAGAATAAAACTAAATAAATCTTACCCTGGTCATTGTATGAGTGGAGTATACAATAAATCCGTATAAAATACAATGAAATCCAAAGCTGAAGTGTAATCCGAAGCATTTCCTGATTGAGCAAATAATACTTGAGCAGATTTTTTATAAAATATTAATATGATTCTATCTACAGTAGGCTGTAATAGCTTTTGTCTTTAAATGTGATTCTCTATTACCCGCAGGTCCAATATATACTGTTGATCAAAGCAGTTCACCTAATTTGAAGTGATAATCAATAGAATGTATTCCCATACGTAGGTCACCTTAACTGGCCTACCCACATCAAACATTGCCTGAAGCCAGCCTTCACTACTTATTACTGACCTAGATATAAGGTCTCATCAGGCTAGTATACTCCAGATATCTACCCCTTATCAGTTATACTTTTTACTACATCTGCTATTCTGCTTGGCCTCAGAGGCTGCCAAGGTGTAAATACTGCTCCAGACTGTAGTAGCATTCAGCATGATCATATCATTATTTAACTCCATAAGACATAACATCTGCTATCCTTGACAGTAAAGAACATATAATAGCCGACTATTATTGCAAGCTGTTTAAGAAGGTGCTATGTGATAATAATGCATGTATTACTGAACATGTTTCAACTGCAAGTAAAATATAATTGGTAAATCCTACACAGAATATAGAACCGACCAATCGTATTGAGCAGATACAATGAGGATTAATATTGCATCTTCTATGTAGTGATAATCAAGCTAAGGTAAAATAATACTTTCCATTAAATGCAGAAGTCAATCTGTATTGTACAGTATGAAGAACAAAAGTATGTAAAATGACTGCTCAAAGAGCAACTGTAATGGTTCAAAGACAGATGAAATTCAAAATTAAAGAGAAGAAACGTGATAACAGAACTGATGTTATATGATACAGTATCCTTCAGCTTCATCTTTTTCAATATATCAAAAACCAAGACAATTTTATTCTCAACTGATTCAATTTGTGCAACGATAACTCCAGAATTAGCAGTGTCTATACGATAAACATCCACCTTCTTTTGAGTCCCTTTGTCTAAAGGCTTTCTAAGACAATCACCTCCCTTTACAGGAGGAAACTGAAAGATTACACACCAAGATGTATCAATGGTTAATAATACTGTCCTGGTATATTAATTTTTTGTTCCTTAGGAGAAAGGAAAAACTCACATATCCTAGAGGGTCTTTCCTTAACCCAATCCAATATTTCAGTAAACACTACTTTTACATTCAGAATGTGTGTATACTGAGTCACTAGAGATTGGGAGTCCAATTTCATTAATGCTCAAATAAGACATTCAGTGTTAAGATGATAAAATACCAGAAACACTTTCCTACTTAGTAATCAACTCCCAGATCGGTTAACGGCCTCGAATGTCTTAGCATTTAACTAGTTGTATTTTACATTGTATAATGTCAGTATGCATCAGTTACTTCTTCATGGTGCTCTGAATCCTAATTTATGGTTAATTCTTAAAAATGTCTAACACAT